ATCTATCCTTATCTATCTATCCTTATCTATCTATCATTACAATTTCTAAATGATAAATCCATTAGGCCTATATAAATTATTTTTTAAATGTGTATGTTTCTGGCCCAAGGACTAAGGGAAATGTTTGAGGGGCATTCTGTAATTGGAAAGTTTTTTTTTTTTAATTAATAATTTATAGTGTGCAACAAAAAGTGTTCAGTCAGCCTGTGGGAGGTGGATATGGAGCTAAAGAGAGTTTTTGAGTGCAATATTTTTAGCTTTTCAAGGATTTCTGTTTGTTCTTTTCACTCCGGGCATTTTAAAGGTTTTTCTAGTATAGATGCAGAAAAGCAGGATGGCCAGAGAAATGGTAGCAGTGTTTCTCAGACATAGAAAACATTTTATGAGCCCCAGAGACAAATGTAGAACATCTGACTTGAGTTTCCCTGTGAGTGTGGTTAGATTATACTCTTCCTGCTGTTGATGACAGTGATGATGGCGTTTACTGCTCTTCCTACATCTCTATACAGAGAGGAGTGTATATCACTTCAACTGATCCTGAGTTAATTAGTCGTGGTGCTTGTTCTAGCTTGTATTGCATTCAGCACAAACAGTTCAGATTATACTTTTATATTATTGTTTTACTTTTCCAGTGGAGTCTTGCTTAATGTGCTGTCATTAGATCTATTCCTCGGTTTCTTTCCCTAGCCCGACACAGCCCTGTTGGCTTCATGCCATTCACCTAACCAGTCACCTAAGGGCTGAAAGCCTTGCCAGCTAAGAGGGTTTGGTTTACACATAGACATGAATGAACACATATACAGCCACAAGAACATCAGTATCACTCCACCACCAGTGTGATCTAGACACTTAAATCAACTTTTTAAAATGCCAAAAATGTGCTTGTCTGCACTACATGTGTAGATAAATGCTAGTTATCGTACTTTACTCCATCATTTGGTTATCATTTGTTGAGTTACTGCTACCATGATCAATAGAAAATGTAAAATAATTGTGATATAATCCTATGATTGCTAAAAAACAGTATTTAGAAAACCCCTGGTTATTGTGTCTACATCTCAATAAAAAAGCAACAATGAGCTCATAATTGAAATATTAAGCCCATGAAGGCCTGACTGCTATATTGACCATGTTTTGTCTGTGCGTGTTTGGAGACGATCTGCCTCTGCTAAAATTACAGGGCTCCTTTTGAGAGCTGAGGCATTACAATGTGGCACTGACTCATTTCACATCATCTTAAATTATACAGAGGGCAGAAAATTACACGTGTCAGTTGTATTGACACATGTTGGCTTTTCAGATTAGGGCTGTCTTGTGATATAGTCATGTACTAAAAATCATCACAATGAGAAGTAGGAAAAGCCCACTTTGTCGAACTTTGTTGTGTTTGACTTGACTGAGACACAGAGGCTGTGGAAATCCCACTTCTGTGTGATGTCAGAGTGAAAGTGTGCTCTCAGCGCAAAAGCACAATAGAGTCGGGACAGTTGGGTATCATAGCCCTGGGACTGTCACACCCCGCTGGTCTCCTCTCTTCTCCGGGCTGGAAAATTTAGAACATATGGAGGCAAAAGTCATCAGATTTCTCTACAGCAGGAAATGCAAAGGTACTGTTGATTCTCTGACCTTTTCAGTGTGTTTTCTTGTCACTTGAAACACTGGTTTGACAGCTGACCCAAGACTTGGCATCAGTACATCAAATGAAATGTGATCCCGCAGCTGTAAACAATGAAATATATGTGCTAGTTTATAGTCTTCCCTGTTTGGATAAAGGATTCTGCATTGTTTTGAATAGTTCACCTGCTGTATGGCAGAACTTGCTTCTAAACTAAGAGCAATGGCATTATGTTTTTTTAATCAGAGCTTTGGTATGCAGGACAAGTATCCATAGTTCCAGAGTTCCCAAGAGCTCACATAAACATCATAATTCAATATTTCATTAGGCTGTCGGGATTGAGCGGGGTAAATTAATTTGGAGCCATGCTTGAGTGCTCGGCGGATGTTGGACATGGTGAAAGAGAGACAGAGTGAGAGAGGCAACGGAAATGAAAAGTGATAAGCTTGGATAAACTATCTGAAGGTGTGTAGGGGTGTGTGTGTGTGTGTGTGTGTGTGTGTGCGCGTGCATGATGGACCTCTGTAAATCTCTTGATCCCATGTATTATTCTCCAGTCTCTTGAGAAGCGTTTTAGTGTTAAAGTTTAAAATTTACTTAATGATAACTTCTTCATAAGGTTCGTTTTTTTTGCATAGAAGGTTGAAATGTCTCTCCACCAGTTATTTTTTACTTTGTTTTGAGGAACTAGGTTAGAGCAGCATAGACTAGATTGTGAAATGTGGGTAAAGGATTTTTTCTGCCTGAATCAGAATATGATCGTTTTTTTGATGTAGTAAGCAGTCCCAGATGAAATATTTACATGCTTTTTGCATTTCAATTGAGTTTCCATTGCATAGTTATGGTAAAAAACAAGTTTAGAATTTGCAACATTTGCAGAGTGTCCAAAATGAACTTGCGTCCATAGAGGGTGAGTTTCCTTATTTTTGTGTGTGCATTTTATAAAGAAATGCATGTTCTCTATTACAAAGCTAAAGTTAATTACAGCAAAAACATGATTTTGTTCATGCATTGTTGAGTGGTTCATGCAAAATGAGTATCATTTTGGTGGCTTAATGCGAGGAATATTCCACATGTGTTTCCACATGGAGTTTTAAAGAAAAACTAAACAACGTGAGGCATCCTAGATTAATTTATAATTTCCAAATTTCCTCTTAGGAAAAAGACGCACAAGTCACATCTGATGATGATCGCGTAGGGTCCATGCTAAAAGTACATTTTTGACACTTTGCAAATATTTGAGCTTGAATACAATACCATTCTAAAGCCTGGGTTCAGTAATATTTTTAAAAGAAGTGTATACTTTTATTTGGCAATTGATCAAAAGTGACGGTAAATGAGTATCCTGAAAAGATGTAACAAAAATATTACAGTTTTTCTCGATTGCTTAAACACATTTCTTGAAACTATGCCTCGAATTCTCAAAACAGTAAACACAAATCCATAACATCGCACCCAATTCCCCAAACATTCTATTTTCAGGTCAAAGTGAAGCTCTACACTCAAAACCATTCACTCTTGCTGAAAAACCAAAATTTTTCCCTCAGACTGGACACACAAGCCCTCAAAAATACACACACTACAATATAGTCTTACACACTGGTGCAATAAATTAAAAACAACATTTCCAAAACTGGCAAGTTATGTTGCTTGTGATTCCCCCCCACAATGGATACATTGGCACAATTTGATTCATTCATGTACTACACAGTACAACATACACACAAATATATATATATGTATATATATTTTTTATATTTACTTGCATAAGACGTGTGTGAGCATCATATGATAGTAAAAGAGCACACACAAACCTTATTCTAATATGAATTATCATAATGTATTGTAATTGATGTGTATGTGAAAGTCTATAATGTATTTTTAATATGCGTATTTATTGACATCAGCCTGCCCAGGAACTACAGGTGGAAATTAGCACAAGTGCTACAACCTGGTAAAATGCATCTCTCCTCTCTAAGGTTAATGTATATTTTGCATTGTCCCTGTCCAAAAATAAATAAATAAATTGTATTGGAATGGTAAAGAGTGTTGGTACGTGACAGGAGGGCCTCCACTCAAGGATACAATATGATGAACAAGTCTAAGAATGATCCACGTATGGTTGAAATACAATCATTGGCCTAGAGATAACATTCTGGGAGTCAAGACTATAAAAGAGGAAGGATGCTGTCACACTCTTTTCTGTCTCACTCTGCTGCCACTCTGTGTGACTGTACGACTGCTGGCCTTTTCTTGCAAGAAAATAAACCTCATCAAAGACAATTGGAAATGTTTGTCTCTTATTCAGTGATAGAATTTTGTTTGCCACCACACCTCCCTGAAGGTTCTGATGATGGAGGCGACGGTGAAGCGACTCAAGTTTGGCTTTACTCGTTGCCCAGCCTCCCTCATAGTGATACCATGGACAAGGACATGGTCAACTAAAGTGGCTTGAATTTCATCCGAGACTGCTTGTTTTCTTGCCCTTGCCCTCCTCCTTCCTCCTCTTCTTCTTCCTCCTTCTTCCTCCTCCTCCTCCCTCCTCCTTCCTCCTTCCTACTTCCTCTTTCCTCCTCCTACTCCTCCTCCTCCTCCTTCCTCTTCCTCTTCCTCTCCCTCCTCGACCTATTGCTTAATTTCTCTGTGGATCCATTGTTCCAACACTCAGTAACCTGATTTTTATCTTTTATAGAGGATTTTATAACCTTTTATCTATCTTTTGAAGGATCTGATTGATGTGTGTTCTGTTCAATTGTGACTCTTAGTTATTTCAGCTGGGGAGTTGTGTGCTAAGTGAGCTGAAGCTGTGCTGACTTGAGAGAACAATACTGAATGCTAGTGCTTTCTAAATGACCACATGGTGTAGGCAATGAGAAATGAAGGGATTTGTGTGTAGAGTTTTAGACTAATGTGTCAAAACAGGGGAATAGTGTTTATAGTTTAGTGAAATGGGTGCTTTTAGATAAATGGCATTATGGTTTTGAAATTTTAGTTCAAAAAAACTGTAAGCAGCACAACTGTTTTCTTGACTTGAGCACCAAAAATTAGCATATTAGAATGATTCCTAAAGGATTATGTGACACCTGAAGACTGAAGTAATGACTGCTTAAAATCCAGCTTTGCCATCACTGGATTAAATTACTTTTAACATATATGAGAATAGATAACAGTTATTGTCATTTGTAATAATATTTCACAATATTATTGTTTAAAAAAATCCAGCCTTGGTGAACATAAAAGACTAAAAACACTAAAACAATTTAGAGATAATGAAATTTTCATCATTTTTACAGAATTAACGAATAACACTAAGCACTTTTATGCATAACCAGAGTATGAAGTACTGCAATAACTCTGCATCTTCTTCTTCTTCTCTGATTGGCAGAGATCCGAGCCCAGTTGGTGGAGCAGCTTAAGTGTTTGGACCAGCAATGTGAGATCCGTGTGCAACTCCTGCAGGACCTGCAGGACTTCTTCCGCAAGAAGGCAGAGATCGAGATGGACTATTCCCGCAACCTAGAGAAACTAGCCGAGAGGTTCCTGGCCAAGACACGGTACACAAAGGACCCTCAATTTAAGTAAGAGAACATTTGGCTTTGTTTCCTTTAAGTTGTTTTTGCTGATAAATCATATTCTGGTGATCCATGCCGTTACCTGTGTGCAGTTTGAACTCAATATGTTTATGCAGGCTTTTTTTCCTCTCTCTCACACACACTTCTGATTACATAAGAGTCAAGTGCAGTGAAAGTCGAGACTGTTGAGTAAACTCTCACCAGGGTCATGTGATATTTAGTCAACACTTAATTTTGTGCTTTTTCAAGATAAATTCATTAAAATCTTCCGTAACCACTCATATTTTAGTGTGTAGGCTTAAACAGAGTCTCCTTGTTTGTCAGGATGATGATGAATCAGCTTCAGACCATGTAAATACAGTAAGTCTTTTGAGGCTTTCACAAGACCCTGCTGTTATATAAGAGGCTTGTCTCACATCTCTGATTAGATAGCAGTGGGGATTTTGATCGTGGAATAAAGTCAAGTATTTTCTTGGAAGTCCTTGGTTCTGTTCCAGTGACCCATATTTGATCCTGATACTGTAGTGGTTAGAGTTATTATGCTGTATAAAAGCAAGTAAAGAACATTAATGTTTTTACTTAAGATACACATGTTTATATTATAGTGTCTGATTGACAATATTAGCTTATAATCTAATTTTGTTGTTTTGTGTGAAACAAAACAGTATTTTAAGTGGCCTTGATATTATTTTCATATTTAGAGCTTGACTTTGAGCAGGTTTACCAGGGTTTTTATAGCTCGGTTGCGTAGAAAGGCAAGTGGCAATTATGCTGAAGACCTGGCATTAAATGAATGAAGGTTTCCTGATACCAACTAGCGAGCTATGAGAATGATGCAGTCTCGCAGCAGTCGTTATCACAGGATATGCTGCGGGAGAGCCTATTAATCAGTGTTATACTGTCTAAACGGATCTCTGTGGTCAGAACCTTTATGACGCTAACAATAGTGTCTTTCCCTTGTCTACATCAAACTTCCTGACCATTATAAAGCAAAATATTTGCTTGCATTAACATTTATCAAGGTGCTTTTGTAACTCCCAACGGTCCATGCTTTTTGGTAACATATTGTAATCCTTTTGTGCTTGCTGTGTAAATAGGTTGGACTGGTTTTGAGTTGTTTTCCAGGGGCTATGCGTACCTCGACAGGTTTCTTTCTGGCGGTTTTGCCCCTGGCAATGTTTTGACATGGGGGATATCCAGTGCTTGAACTTTTTTCTTTCTTTCATTGTTTCTTTCATTTTCCCCCTTGTCATGTGCTTGTCTTTGCTCCTTCCCTTTTTCACTTTCTGTCTTTCACGTTATTTTGCTCTTTGTATTTTCACTTGACTCCTCCTCAGCTCCCAATATAATGGTTTGGAGTGCTGGAGGCTTTAAGTCTGGGAAAGTCAACATACGGCTCTCTGACAGCTACTAGAAATGATCAGTAGTTAGCACAGATGTTTTTTGAGAGTGGTTTCGTGTGACAGCTCTGTGCCCTATCAGGCCATGGTGCTGATGAGACCCCGGTGTACCTCAGATCCTAAGGGAGGTTCAGTTTCAAATGGAGACATACTGTAGTGTGAGGAGTGGATGTATATCACAATATTTTTCATTTTCGGTTAACAACAATATATGTTACAATATAGACATTTTAATGGAAAATAATGAAATAATTATAAATAATGAAATAATTATTAATAATAAATTGTAAGTAATTACAAAATACTAATAAATAATACTTATTAATCATTTTTATTATTTTTATTTTAACCATTATCTACAAAACAAATTTATCAAAAATAAACAAATTCTTAAGAAAAATATCAGGAAATAATTTAACTATAAGTAACAATAATAATTTGTAATAATTTTAATTCAAAATAATATTTTATTCAACAAAAACAACAATAATAATATATTGTTAAATAATACATTATTTTTTATATATTATCTAAATTTATAATAAAATTATATTTTCTTTATGCAAAAATGATCAGAATCAATAATAAATTATTAATATATTATTATTAATACAAATTATTTAATGATTATTTTTTATGTTTGGATGGCTGGATGGACAGATGGATGGACGGACAGACAGAAACTAATAATAATAATGATGAAAATACTTTGTTTTATAATACAGTTTGGTTTTCTTAAGCATCATGCATTTTTTCTCTCTTTTGCTTGCATTTCTGAGAACTAATTTTTAACATCATTTCTTTTGCTTGTTTCCTGATTTCCTCGTATCTTCCTCATTTTCTTTCACATTGGGCCTGCATTACACCATCTCTCTCATTGAATTCCCCTCGCTAGACAAAGTCTACAATAACCCCTTCATGGTCGCCCTGATACCATTGACCCCCGCTGGGATAGATTTTCGAATCGGCTCGGGATCTCATCCAATCCAAATACCATTCCCTGCCCTCCGTGGCTTCCCAGCTCCAACATCTGCATGTTTAACAGACGAAGGCAACATCTGGGACGATGATGCCACGATGGAATGTGAGGCATTTTCCGACCCGCTCCTCCAGAAGAACGTAGCTGTCAGTGAGGCCCTGACCTTCAAACTAAGGGCCATCTATGGGGATCGTTTGGAGATCCCTGATATACTGCTTGTGTTCTTAAAGGGAGAGTTCAGCTCAGTGCCCTCTGTTTTACCAGTTAAGGGTCAAAAGGCTCCTCTATGTGTGATATGACAGTGTGCGTCATTTGTTCAGCAAGCCAGCGGGAGGCCTGGTGATGAGTCGCTCGGCAATGAAAGGACAGCATGGTTAAGAAACACGCGGTCTGGAATGATAACACACGCCATGGTACTGACCTAATTTCTAGCATGCCTGATTTTCTACAAATGGTCTGAGTTGATACAAAGAAGCAACTGAAACTGACCACAACGTCTGGACTCATGACAAATAAGAAGGGTGGTGGTTAGACTGGTGCCACCGATGAGCGGTGATGTGTCATATGCTTAGACCATTACTCTGCTTATCCAAGATTACACTACCAACCAGTTCTTAACTTTTCTCTTCCCCCTCAAGAGGTCAAGAAGACAACATAACAGTGATTTCATCATTTCGAAGTTTTTAAAACATTGTCATACGGTGTTACCTCACTTCCTAATGTCATGGAAACCACCGGTGTTATTGTGCTTTTCCAGAGTCCCTTAGGGGTGTCCAGTCCTGCACCTGGAAGGCCACCTTTCTGATCCAACCAGATCCAAAACACTTGCCTGGATGTTTCTAGGAATTTATCCAAAATCACCCCTAAACCCTTATTCACTATTCCTCACATTACTCCACTAATATAGCCCACTCATTGGGCTTGGAATGAGAAATGAAGTTTTATGTATCAAAGTTCGGGAGGAGCATGTTCAGGTAATCATCCAATCAGCACAAGAAGAAGCCAGTATAAATAAAGCCTTCCCTTACCTCCTGTCTCATGACTAATTTCTCAGCATCCCACCACCACCCCTTCACCCCTCATTCGGCTGGGTCCGCTCATAGATACCTATGATCTCTAAGGTCATGGGGGGAGTACTCTGGGGTCGGGCCGAATTCTGAGCTCGGAGCCCTCCCCCCGGACAGCAAGCCAAATACGCATTATAATATTACATCAGATTTCATTAACATGTAAACTCGTGAATCAGTTTTACACTCGTTATTGCGGTTGCCAATGAATTTTGCCCACATTAGACTTCTATATACAAGTGTCATAATGTTGCCTGTTCTGCAGTATCCAGTGTCACGATACCTCCCAGCCCATTTGTGAGAAGCTCGTGATTAGTTTGACTAGAGGAAGTGAGTCTGTCTGGTCTGGTGTGTTTGCCTGAACTTTATAAATGTGACGGTAAGAGAAAGCATGCAGGGCAAGTTTCATTTCCTCTCCATTCTGACTACCTTGACTGATGTCTTCCCAATGTCATGTCTTGACAGAAGCCAAGGCCTTGTAAAACACTTCTCACCAGAGTGAAGAATTCCCCTCAACGCCTTCTCATGTACCTTCCAAACGAGACTGAGTGAATGAATCAGACACTCTTCACAGTTGAGTTTACAGTAGATAAAAAATACAGTAAAACACTATAACATTCTGAAATATTCCCATTTAAATTAACTGTTTTTCAGGATTCTTTGATGAATAGAAAGTTCAAAAGAAAATTAATTAGAAATAACTTTTGTATTATTATAAGTGTCTTTACTATCACTTTTGATCAATTGAATGCATCATTGCTACATAAAAGTATTAATTTCTTTAAAAAATCTTACTGACCTCGAACTTTTGAACAGTATATAAAACGGTGTATATAAAATTATTATTAGTATTATTGTGTTTATTTAGATGTTTTTCCTTCAATTATTGTCTTTAATAGTCCATGTGTACATTCAGGACTGTTTTGTGTACTGATATCATCAGTCCATTCCCATCAGTCCAAATGTCAAGAATTCCTTCATAATCTTTATCACTTAAAATTCTTTACATGCTCCCATTTCACGTCCCTCGTGTATGTCACCTAGGAATTAGTCCTTCATGGCTTTGCGAAGTGTTCCTTTGGTGAAAGACCGGCTCTGTCTGCGATGACCTTGCTGTTAATTGGGCAATTCCTCCGCTCATGTGACCTCAGCTTTTTCATGGCCTTCCAGAAATGACCCGGAGCTCCCTCGTCTGAATGCCCATTTAAGAACCCTTTCCATCAGCCAAGAGGCCATGCTAATCTCATCAACATCCCTTTTGTACATTTCTCAAGAGGAATTGTGTTTCTCCTAGGACTCCATCTTATGCGGTTAAGCATGTGTTTTGCTTCTTTGCATATGAAAAAGTAAATTAGTGTGTTTAGGAGATTTTAGGATGTTTCTCAGGGCTGTCAATGGTTTCAGTCATTGAACAATCATTAGATTGTTGGTTTCAATTCTGTATTCTTCATTTTTACACATTTCAGAACTGCAGAGATTTAAGGATTTGTTTTGCTTGTACATTCTTGTGTTCTCATGTTCATCATGTGTCAATTACTGGAGGTGTTCACACCACATTTTGGCACACATCTCAGTGGTTTACCATCAGGGACTTGCCTTCTTTGAACCCTTATTGTGCAAGACCTTAATTTTTGCTTCACATTTTGCTGCATGCTCGAACCAGTTTCATTCATCCGTTTCTCAAGTGTTGGTTTATACCTACATGTTGTGCGATTGTTGGCAGAGCAACATCAAGATCTCATTCCACTCTTTACCTCAGCCGTAGCCTCCAGACATCCAAATGCAATTATTTCTGCTACAGTTCTTAACCGCTGTTGTTTGGATGGGGGGAAAAGGGTGTCTGGGAAAGTTTGTGAAAAGAAAAGTTATTGGTGAGAGTGGTGTGCACTGTGCACACCTAAATGTTTTGAGCTAGAATTGTTTAGTTGAATTGTTACCTGTGTACCGCTTTCTATTAATAAGTAGGTCTGTTCTAAAGCTAAAGCTACACTGCTATCTGCTCCCTATGTAGCCGGCTACCTTCTTCTACGGCACCATCTCAACAAAATAAAAACTTTAAGTGACTGAAGATTCTTGGGCAGAAGCTCCATTAATAATGGTCACAGTGGTATTTCAATAAAGTTAGCATGTTGCTAAGCTAATGACTTATGCAGCAGTTAGCATTTGTTTTTGTGACACCCCACTTTAAAAGTAGAAAATGTTGAATAAGGAAGAGTAATGAATTATTTTAATTTAGCTGATACTCACAAATGAGTAAAATGGGACACTATTACAAGGTTGTATTGAAAATATTGTATTTTTTATATTTTACATATAAAATACAATTTATATAAAAAAATTCTGATGAATAACAAAATGTATTCATCAGACATACTGTGTATATATATATATATATATATATATATATATATATATATATATATATATATATATATATAGTGCTTAGCATAAGTGAATACATCCATGCTAAAGTTGACTAAAAAGAGGAATAAAAAAATCATCTTTTGGAAATTTATCTTAAATGAGCATTGCAGAAGTTCTGAAATTTCTTACCGTTACTGACACCAGTGGCCGTTAGAGAAACTGCAGCCAGTCTCATGCTCGTTCTCACACGCTCGTTGGCCGCACTACATAAGGCTTTTTTTTTTTTTTTTTACTTTTACTTATACGAGGAGTTTCCGTGGGTATCTGGATTGTGCTGGAGGCTGGTCGCTTCTTTCCGTCCGCAGAGTCCATTTGAAACACTACTGCTAGCGATTGCCGCTGCTTATGGCTGCCGTACGGATGTAAGCCCAAGTAGACGAGAACGCGCATGACGTCACATTTTGTGAATTTTCACGCCAATTCGAACCCGACTCCTCCACACACAATTGGGCCTAAAGGCTGATAGAGGCAACCGTGGTGGACAATCAAGGTGTCATTATTTCTATTACATTATGGTTGGCTCATAAATGTACAAATGAAGACTCTATCTTAAAGATTTTTTTAAGTAAAAACCGACACATAGCCCCTTTAATGCCTTAATTAAAAAAATTAGGAAAAAATCCAACCTTTAAGGATTTTCTTTGTGAATGAATAATGTATCGTAAATAAATAAATGTTCTTCCTTAAAATACAGGGGGCATAAGTCAGGACACCCCTATGTTAAATTCCCATAGAGGCAGGCATATTTCTATTTTTAAAGGCCAGTTATTTCATGGATCCAGGATACTATGTATCCTGATAAAGTTCCCTTGGCCTTTGGAATTAAAATAGCCCCCCATCATCACATACCCTTCACCATACCTAGAGATTGGGATAGTGTTATTTCAGTTAGCCTAATAGCTGGTTTGATTTGCATTGAGAGATTATCTTATGGAAAGTACCCCATGCCAATCTCTATGTATGGTGAAGGGTATGTGATGTGGGGCTATTTTAATACAATATATATATAATACAAATGCATCATATAATACAAAAGACATAATATATATAAAAGCATAAAATACAAACAGCAATGTTTTGATCAGAGCTAATGTGAAGCTGAAATGTAAAGCCTTCCTGTAGAAATACATTGTCTGTCTGATGACAACAGTTTTTTCTGATCCCATCATCAAACAAGTTGCATAGGCATGGATGAAATGAGATGAGATGTGTCCAGTCCTTTCCACAACACTGATGAATGTTGAGCAGGAGAACAGGCTGTGATGTACCCCTCCAGAACCCCCTGCTGAGCTCTGAATGCTGGCTGATTTCCCTTTTCTTTGAACTAAGTGGGAGGAGTGTCTGTCTGAAGTCTTGTCGGCAGCCAAACCAGAGGGAATGTACAGTGAGACAGGGTCCCCGTCGAGTGATATGATTAGTCCAACGTGTTCTTCAACAAGGACTGTGTCAGACAAGTGTTAATACATCTGTACATCACTTGAGGTTTATTACCCAGACTCAGACTAATTCAGGACATCAGTAGTGCCTGGTTTCAGTCCAGAATATGTAGGTATTGATGACATGAATATGAATTTGTATTATGTTAAACAGGTTCAGATGATGCTTAGCTGTGTACTGTATGTAATATGATTTGTGTATTTGAGCATATTGTGCACAAAAGTGGATTTTTTTTCTGGAAAGCCTGGTATTATCATGATTTTGGACTTGAACTTTTAGAAATAACATGTTGATAAGATTTTGGTAAGAGTTTGTGATCTTTTTGAAATCTAAAGCTCACCAAGACTGTTTATTGTTATTATTATAATGTATAAATGTGTATTAGAATGTATAATGTAATTTCTTACAAAATGAAAATGAAAATCTGAGCTCAAACTTTTGAATAGTAGTATTGTGTCATTATATCGGTTTAATGGAGGAAGTGTTTTTATAAATGCAGTGTTTAATTCCTCAACACTTTTGCTCTTGCAGGTCACAAGTTGTTTAGCCCTTAAAACCTACACGGTTGCATAATGCTGATGGACAAAGTTGCTAGTTGTTTGGGTAGATCGTTTTAGTTGTCTCAGATGCTCAGCGCTCGAGTTAACAGCAGGACCAAGGTCATGTGTTAGCTGTTCCTTTGTAAACAGACAGTCTGTAAAACATTAACAGCCAGCCGGATGCTTTCTGCAAGCTTTTTAGATGCAGTCTTTCTCGTTTCATCTCTCTCTTCAGACTGTCTGGTCTGAAGAAACTTCAGGTTTTGCCCCACCCATTCAGTGGCATTTTGGCAGCAGGGAACGGGCCCCACCTCATGGGCTTCTACGGGACAATAAGCATCAGCTGTCTCCTCTGGCATGAACAGACCGCTGGGTCCATCCCTCCAGCATATGCCTGGAGTAACGCAGGGCTTAGCAGAATTCCTCTTTGACATGGCATCCTTTGGTGTATTAGTCCACGAGTTACCTCCACACAGATGGCAAACAGGTTTATCAGGACAGATCTTTACGCATATGTACCCTTCTTAACCGTAGTAGGACTGCATGTGTTAGAGTAACCTTTAACATCAAGGGCACATTCCTGATTAGAGAACCTTCACAGGGTTTTTTGACCAGATTTATCTGTAATGATGATGTGTAAGTCTCAAGGGCTGTGACCAGCGACAAAGTGACCTGTAGTTATTCATTTTCAAAATCAGTTGGCAGTTTGAATGACCCAAGTGCAACTTATGCAAATGAGCAGTGTATATATACTATATATGATTTTTATGTTTTGGCCATTAAGTTTCCAGTGGAAAGTTTACAGTTTCCTCCTGTTTCAATAGATATTTTAATAGTGTCTCTCATTTAAACTATTGGAGCAAAACGTTTGGTTCTAAGTTTGATTATTTTCCATGTTTTTTTGTTGTTGTTGTTGTTGTTGTTTTTTACGATGCATTGGACTGTCCATTTCAGTTTTTGATTTAAAACCGATTCAGCTTTTCATTATCATCATTACTCAAAAATGTTTACAGAAGTCATCATTTTAATATTAAAATGTGTGGAAGACATGCCTTGGTTATTTAAAAAATGATTTTAGTATTTAGGTCTTATATTAAACATTTTGAATCCTATTTGCCTGAATTATTTGGTTATGTTTAAATGATGGTTTCCTTGATGCCGTTTGATTATGTGTCATAAATAAATTGTCAGAGAAAATATTTGCAACTAGTACATAATATAATAAATCACCTTATCAAGTGCATTTATTTATTTATTTAATAACAGCTTGTCTCAGCTGATCCTGCTGCTCTCTCTACTCTATGATGAATGATAATAAACGTTTTTTTTTTTTTTTTTTGCTCTTCTCTGCAGGAAAGAGCAGAATGTCTTGTCTCCGGTCAACTGCTGGAACCTTCTCTTGACTCAGGTGAAAAGAGAGAGTCGAGACCACGCCACTCTCAGTGATCTATACCTCAACAACATCATCCCACGCTTCGCCCAAATCAGCGAGGACTCAGGACGCCTCTTCAAAAAGGTGACATTTGCCTTTACAGACCAGTCGATTCCTCTATTAAACCCACTGTTGGTCACTGAGCTTGATGCTTCATTTTTTATTTCTCTTTCAGTTCAATCAATAATCTCTTTCTCCTCACTGACTTTTTTTCTCCTTTAAAAAGGTGCACTAAGTGGGATTAAGGGGTGCATAATTAGCATGAGCATTTAATGCTAGCTTCGAGAAGAGATAACAGATGCTGTATTACATGCAACATTTTTATTCATCAAACAGTTGTATTAATATATTTTATATTTATTGATATGTATATTAGGGCTTTAGAACCATGGTTCATAACCATTTTCTGTGGATTCTTATGTGATCTTCTGCTCCTTAAAGTCCCTGTAAAGGCAATTTCAAAAAAAAATTCTAAACACATTATAAATGTTAGAAATGTGTTGCTAAAACATATTACAAAGACTGTGAACTGTGAGGTACTGATTTGTGGAGTTAGACCGTTAAACAGTTTTTCACCATTGCTATTTTCCGGATTTTCTGGGCGGGGCTAAAACAGGGCTTGATGACGCACTGGAGCCCTTGAGCTCCTGGACACGCCCCTACTTGATGACGCACTGTAGCCGCTGAGGCTGGCCGCTCCTAACAATAATAGAGCACATTCACATCAGTTTGCCGCTCAATCGCGAGTTACTGTCAGCACTATTATTAGTAACACAGCCTACAGATTGCTAGCTACTAGCTATGCCTTCGTCACGGAAATGCGTAGGCCTACTACCTGGATGCGATCACCGGATCACGTACAAAACAGATCGGTGTCCTTATTTAAATTTCCGAAAAACGATTACATCAAGAAGAAGTGGATTAATTTTGTGAAGAGCCACCTTGATGGAGAGCTGAGGATCACCGCCAACACCCGCCTCTGTAAGTGATCATTTTACACGGGATAGTTTTATAAACTTTCGTCGGAGATAACTGTCAGGGATTCACTGATAATCCGCTGTTACTGGTGAGGGGCCGAACCGACTCCCGCCTGGCCTTCATCCTCCCGTCGCGCCGACAACTGGTGTCATCGGCAGTGCGTGTGCCCACTGCCCACCGTGCGAGCATCTATTCCGGCTGTAGAGTTGAGTGTGGCGAGTCGACGGCAGCTTTCCCGCGAGTGGGCGTGGTTTCAGCGCAGCCAGTGGACACGCCCCCAGCGTTTGAGAGCAGAGAATACTGCTCATTTCTTCAAGATTTTGATAGCTTATTTTATGTACTTGCTGGCTTTTTTTATCATTCAAATTTGGCTGGGTGACTAATAACTAATTTTTCTGTGGTGTGACAAACTCAAAACACATACTTAATTTTGACTTTACAGGGACTTTAAAACTGATTTTGAGATGATTATAGTCTAAAATCTCAAGCGAAAATTCTGTATCCTGTCAGCCAGGGGAAGTTGATAGATGTGAGAGATGTGAGTCTCATTCTTCTTGGCTTGTCTAGACTGGTTAGACAGGCAAGAATGTTCACTATCTAGACCCAGAGCTGTGAAAGAGAGGGTTTCTGATCCACACATTTCCTGTCTCCATTGGTTGTCCATGGTGAATCCGTTTCACAGAGTCGTTTATGGTAGCTTTGTTTAGTGAGAAGATGAGGGAACCTCCACAGGTAATATCCTTAAAACAAGCATAGTTTAGTGATGTCCTATCAGCCCATCAGTTGAGCAGGGAATTTTGATACTTTATCAGAAGGGGTTGAGAAGCTCGTTTTGAATGATGTCCATTTGATAAGACCTCTTGATCTCAACTATGTGTAATTTAAGGTTCAATACAAGTTTGTGCTTTAAACCTTTCTAAAACTTTCAAATCAAGAGGGAGAAAAGACTTGCTTTATTTTTTAATAATTTTCCCCCCAATATAACTAGCGGCAAGAGTCTCTCAGACCCCAATCAGCACTTCTTTCTCCCCCGCTGTCTCTCTGTCTGTTCCTCAGTTCCCATGAGAGAGAGATGAGCCTCCCTATCAACATTCATCTCATCTCTCTCTTTCCTTTAGTTTAGTTCACCCGGCCCTCCATGCTGCAGGAATAACAGGTATTTAATTGAACGCTCCCAGCCAGCCTCTCTCCGGAGGCTTCCTGGGAATCGCTGAAGTGCGATTGGACTTACCCTACGTCCTAGTGCTGCACACTTCCCACCTGTCTTAAAAGCTCTATGACATGCTGGAGAAATTCTGCACTCTAAATGCAAATGCTGTCAAGGGAGCCGTGTCCGGAGGAGGTTTACGACTTTATTGAACCACAAGAGCAGACACACAATAAAGGAAAACACTCTTAGAAGTGTAGAAAGAGAAGTATGGCAGTGAAGTTTTGGATGAATCCTGTCCTCTTCCTCAATGCCTGATCAGAAACGTAGCGCAATTTGATTTGACCACTTTTAGCTTCGATAATATAATTCTGATATGTCATTGGTAAAGTTAATTTAATTAACTAGATAGATTGTATAAATAGATTGTACCGTTTTCTACCATTAGTAATCTGGTGGCAAATAATGGAGATGCACAATATATTGGTACCATAATGGTTATATTAGACATTAAAATTCCATCCATCCATCACAATTTATTTCTTAGACAAAACTGTGTAGAATTCTAATATTGACCGTCTATTGGTTATCGACCATAACATGAAAATAATTAATGGCTTATCTGTGTCAGCCAGAATTGTAATACTGGTGCATAGAAGTGTTTGGTAAAGTTCTTTGGAAACTTATTTAGTGCCACTAGTGTTACCATTACAAATTGCACTGCTAAAGAAACTATGACAAAAATACACATGCATATATGTATAAATGCATATGTATTTATTAAAAACAGATATCTACTGCATTTTTATCCTAATTTCATATGTTCTCATTTACTTTGTGAATATTTTGTCTTTGAAAAGTTGAGTTATTTGTCTTTATTAGGAAATCACTGAACTGCGGAATATTGGCTTTTCTGTAGACTCCAATAACCAACAAACATTATTCATGTCATGGACATATTTTTAATGCATTTTTCTGCTGAAGTAGGTCCGATCACTAAATACAAGAAGAATGTTTTTTACATAGCACTTTGACTTAAGACAAAGAAGTTTTATCAATTGAACCACAGGTTCTTATTTTTGGGGTTAAATTAGAAGCAGAGGCGCTGTTGATAGGAACAATCCTTTGACATGTGACTGATGTCGAGTGCCAGTAAACCAATCCCCTCACAAACACCCCGAATTGATGTTTCTGTGACAGATTTGTGCAGAACCAAAACCAATCTCCTGCCAGGCTTACGGACAGATGTGTGATCTTTTTCATTTAACAAGTGCATCCCGTCATTAAGGCTCATAAATCCATGTCCTCCCGTCCCAGAGTCTCTCCCCTGTTGCCCAATAGATTTATAGAGCTCTTCATGGAAAATCAATAGTTTACTCCCATTTTTTGGGTTCTTTTTTTGTGTTGTCTTTGGAGTGTGTCTCCGAGCAGATGGAGGAAGGCAGCTCTGCCTGGTCCGACCGCACTCCTGAAGATCCATTTCACCACAGGGGTGTTATGCTGCTTAGAGGGGAAGTGTTATGTGTGCCTGTGAGCAACGGAGCAAGAGAGAGGAAGGAAAAAATGGAGAGGAGTATACCCTAGCCCTAGACCCAACAATCCTAATAGAAAGAGCAGAATGAAAAAACCCATCAAATGCTCCTTATTAAACTGATCTGAATAGGTATCTGTCACGGGATGTATGACTAGTCATCTGACAACCAACAGGGCAGACAGGAGCCAGTAACCCCAATGCATGTGTTTCCCCCAGCAGGTCTGTAAGAACAAATTAGCTTATAGACGTCAACTGGAGAGACCATATGCTTCTAAACTATCTCCCACACCTTCAGTTTAAACACTTACACATGATAGGAAAATTTAATGGGACAACATTCTCATAAATAAAGAATTTTAATGTTTGTTTGGAGTTACTTTTAGGTCTGTTCACTGGAGAAGTCCACTGTTTTCCACTGAGTTTGTTTCCAATTATGTTATTACACCAGCCATCAACGGCTTGGACTTGTGTTGTTTTGGGGTTTATGAATAAATCGGATACCCGCTTGTATGTCTGTGTGTGTTTGCCCATTGAGATTATGGTTGCTAATTATGTGTACTTGTGAAAATATTAAGAAAAGATTAGCAAAACGTTTTTTTTCTCCATCTGTCTTCCATCCCCACTGACGAATAGATTAACTTTTTAGTTCTAAGACAATGAAATATTGTCCCAAACTTTTAAAATGTGCTTTTCTCATGGGCCATCACATGCCAAAAATAATGCTCTTTTTATACCTTAATACAATAAAGTGAGTTTATATATATTTGTATATTTGATTATATTTGATTTGATACAACACATCAGACCTTCATTATAAATGACTACCCAAAGGGGATCTCCTGCGGGACGCCTCCCCACAGTTTACTCATCCATCTTAGTTTTCAAAGGGTTAAAATGAACTCCAGTCTGTCCATCAACAGGAAGGAGCTGTGTGACTGCACAATCACTGTTTGTGAAAAATGACAGATTGACTGTTTGTGAATACTTTCTCAAATCACTTTCACCCTTTACTTCCCCCTTCTGTCTTTTATGATCATGCACACACGTCATCTCCTTTCAGTCACATATTTCCTCTCTTCCATTATTTCCGCCACTTCTCATCCTCAAGAGCTGATTGACATCTGTCCAAAAACACCCATAAACCCTCAGTCAGACCTTCAAATACAGGAAAATCCCACAAAATTGTCAATGTAGCTGTAGGGAAAAGGGAAGGAGTAACTGAGTAAAAGCCCTCAATAAGTACTAGACATATTCTTGGGCGGCTTTCGGGTTTACAAGCCCACAGCTACTGAAGTTTGGACTTGAACTTGCAAGCTCTTCGTTTTCATGTCATGCTGTGCCTTCATTTCCTAACTTCCTCTTACAAGACACAGCATCCACCAGATCGGCAAACCACCATTTCCATCTCTCACAGAGTTTACCAGGCCTTTTTATTCTACAGTCTCTGAGAGGAAGTCTTACCAAATTCACGATTAATGTAAATTGATTGACATTTAACTGAAATTAAATTATATTGTCTATACACTTAACAGCAGTATAACATGTATATGCAAGTTCACAAGTGGGAGGTAACTGTCAGTAGTGACACTTCTAACTTACAGGGATAGTTCACCCAAAAATAAAATAATCATTTACTCATACTCATGTTGTTACGAAAGCTATATGACATTAACTATTCTGTGGAATACAAAAGATAATATTTTGAAGAATGGTTCCATCCATAAAATAAAAGTCAATGGGATTCGACATGACATTGGACCCCACTGACTTTCATTGTATGGACAAAAATGAAAATCTTTTCTTTTTTTTTTGTCAAAGAAAATCAGACTGGTTTGGAACTACTTGAGGGTGAGTAAATGATTACAACTTTTAAAGACAATGTACATTGGTGTTTGCAACCCATTTAAAATCCATAATATGATGTAATTCCAATTAAAACGTGATATTCAACTGGAAAGAGAGGCTTTGGATGTTCCCATTTGCCCATAAAATTAATCTGGCCCTGAGTGCAGTGGTCCTGTATAATCTGATGGGTTGGGCAGGACTGTATTGAACTAGATGTGTTTGGGGTAAGCTGGTGCTGACCTCCATTACTGAGAGGGCAGATAGGCGTCTCATCCATCCGTCTAACAGTGACAGCCTCGGGGCTCAAGGCCCAAGAAGGATAGCCAGTTGTAATAGAGAACAGGGCACTACTGTTAATCATGATCTGCACCATTATCTCCCTCTATTTGTCTTTCACTAATGTTTTTTTCTTCTCTTACAGAGTAAAGAGGTGGGCCTCCAGCTGCAGGAAGATTTGATGAAGGTCCTCAACGAGTTGTACACGGTAAGATACAAACAGAGCTTAGTTGAGCGTAATTTCAGTCTGAGGCGATCATCTTTCTGTAGCATTACCATGTTCCATTTTCTGTTTGTATCACTTTCTTCCTCAAACTTCAAACGGAGTGTCGGTACATTATGTCCTCCTTGTCTCTCTCTCTCTCAATATCTCTGGTTGTTTCTATCAGCCTGCTGCAGCTATGAGGCATTGAGTCTCTGCTTCAGTCGAGTGCTTAATTTGGTCTCTTGTGGTTGTATTCCAATCAGTGTTTTTGAGGCGAGGGGTTGGCTATAGTTACTTTTTCTTCTTGTTGAAAACATTTTGAGAGCTTTTAGTCACTGTGTACCCCCTGTGTGTGATTGTGTCCAATTTGTAGTTTTTGAAGGGGCCTAGAAGGAACCATTTAATCGCCTCTTAATGTTTTTATGCCTTGAAATGGATGTTTAATGAACAAAATAATGTTTTTCCAGATAGTCACTGTAATTCATTAGTAAGACAGAAGGACATGAACATGTAGTGAATGATAGTAATTATAGTGTGTCAGCGAGCAATGAATAATCTGCTGGCACGTGGGTTGACTGCTTGCAGCCTATACCTGAGACTCTAAAGCAGATCTATTGCTTTTGCAGTGCCAAAGAGGAGCACTGCGAGTATGAGAGCTCTCCAAATGGTGACGATGCTCTCAAGACGGTAATGAACAGCAACAGTTGTGGGTCAGGACAGGAGTCTGGAATCCAGTCTCACCCTTTACTGATTGTAATCCTTAAAGATTTTATGATATTCCAGCTATGCTGTATGTTTTATACTCCTCAACCATCAAATAGTAAACTTGTATATTTAGTCTTACTTAGTTACCACTTAATTATTATATCATATTATAATATACACTCACCGGCCACTTTATTAGGTACACCTTTCCAACTGCTCGTTAACACTTAATTTCTAAGCAGCCAATCACATGGCGGCAACTCAGTGCATTTAGGCATGTAGACATGGTCAAGACAATCTCCTGCAGTTCAAACCAAGCATCAGTATGGGGAAGAAAGTTGATTTGAGTGACTTTGAACGTGGCATGATTGTTGGTGCCAGAAGGGCTGGTCTGAGTATTCTATTCTGGCTGGTCTCACGCACAACCATCTCTAGGGTTTACAGAGAATGGTCCGAAAAAGAAAAAACATCCAGTGAGCGGCAGTTCTGTGGGCGGAAATGCCTTGTTGATGCCAGAGGTCAGAGGAGAATGGCCAGACTGGTTCGAGCTGATAGAAGGGCAACAGTGACTGAAATAACCACTCGTTACAACCGAGGTATGCAGCAAAGCATTTGTGAAGCCACAACACGCACAACCTTGAGGCGGATGGGCTACAACAGCAGAAGACTCCACCGGGTACCACTCATCTCCACTACAAATAGGAAAAAGAGGCTACAATTTGCAAGAGCTCACCAAAATTGAACAGTTGAAGACTGGAAAAATGTTGCCTGGTCTGATGAGTCTCGATTTCTGTTGAGACATTCAGATGTTAGAGTCAGAATTTGGCGTAAACAGAATGAGAACATGGAACCATCATGCCTTGTTACCACTGTGCAGGCTGGTGGTGGTGGTGTAATGGTGTGGGGGATGTTTTCCTGGCACACTTTAGGCCCCTTAGTGCCAATTGGGCATCGTTTAAATGCCACGGCCTACCTGAGCATTGTTTCTGACCATGTCCATCCCTTTATGGCCACCATGTACCCATCCTCTGATGGCTACTTCCACCATGTCACAAAGCTCTAATCATTTCAAATTGGTTTCTTGAACATGACAATGAGTTCACTGTACTAAAATGGCCTCCACAGTCACCAGATCTCAACCCAATAGAGCATCTTTGGGATATGGTGGAACGGGAGATTCGCATCATGGATGTGCAGCCGACAAATCTGCGGCAACTGTGTGATGCCATCATGTCAATATGGACCAAACTCCCTGAGGAATGCTTCCAGCACCTTGTTGAATCTATGCCACGAAGAATTGAGGCAGTTCTGAAGGCAAAAGGGGGTCCAACCCGTTACTAGCATGGGGTACCTAATAAAGTGGCCGGTGAGTGTATTTCATATAAATAAATAGTTTATAATGAACTTTTTCAGTGTTTACATTATAGCACCAAAAAAAACCTTTCATGGCAGTTAACCTTTGTCTCTGTGGCAGTAAATTACTGTTTTATAGACTTAGCTTTTACAGTATTTGTACCACCACAGAGACCCATGTTCACTGGCAGAGCTGAAATTAACAGATGTGCATGGAAAATTCAGGGAAGATTCAGTTGATTTCGAAGTAATGTTGCTATAGGTGAGTGCATCAGGGCTGCTTTCTGATGCAAAGTGCGGTGTTGCATGGGGGTTCCACACATACATGGCTTTAATTAGCGGCACGGCTAAATAATCCTAATGATTTCAGGGTTTTATTTTTACTGAGAGAAGAAATTAAATTAGAAATGCCCTTTGCACATATTTCTGTATTCCTTATTTTTGTGGGGGAGGAAGGAGTAGTTTGGGGTTTTTAGGGTGGGGTGTTCTGAGCTCAAATGTGGTAGGAGGAGAACCCGTAATATTGGCCTACTTTGAATGGCGACTGGATTCCCCCCCCCCCCCCCCCCCCCCCCCCATACGAATCCACACATGGTCTCCTGGGAAATGACTGTAACCCATTTCAATACTCCATAAAAAGTCAGCAAATCCTTTAATTAAAGAGTTAAGGATGATGAAAATAAACCTGGCACCATTTTTAGTGACATCTGTGCTTTATATGAAGAAAGGCAGGAATGAATGGAAAAGCTGATGATGATTATCTCAGCCTTTTGAACCTAAGAGGAAACTTATAGGGCTGAAAATAGTGAAAAACATGATGAAATGTGTTTCTTCACTTTTTTCAACAGTGGCTAGTTCAGTTTTTCACCCAAAAATTCAATTATGTCATAATTTACTCACCCTCGTGTCTTTCCAAACTCATATGACTTTCTTCCCTCAGTGGAAAATTTTTGGGTGACCTATTCCTTCAAGAATGGGAAAAGAGCCTGACACTTTTTTGTACTTTACAAGAGCAAGCAAAGGCCATTGAGACCCGCCCACATCTATGTTTGCCAAATTCCTCTTGTAAGTGTTTCCTATTAATGATGACACTGCAAAGAGCTTACTAAATTTATTATGCCCATCATGAAGGCTGACACCCTCATGAAAGCCAGTGAAAATGGAGGGAAATGGAGTCCATTAACTTTCTCTCTTTTAGACAGGGAGTGATGGCTTGGTATCATCTCTCTGGTCTTGGCAGAGTGTTTGATTGCAAGCACAAGAATGGCGTCACTCTTTGACATTCCTCTCAAAGGAGCAGAAGTTTGGAATGAGATCCTCCCTTCAATCCCATTCCTAAATTTAGCATCTGCTGAATACTAGCTATCAAGCTTGGTGGCATCTTCCAATCCTCGCAACAGATGAGAGAGCCAAGAATCTTTCAGTCTCACTTTGAACTTAGATGTTAACTGTTCATTATAGGGGTCATATCATTTTATCTGCAATTTGTTATGTTTTTTATTTTATTTAATAAAATATGAATAAATAGTCATTTATTTGTATATGACCCCTTCAAAGTGCTGCATGGTTTGCAGTCCACCTACTTTAATAAATCTGTGCTCTGTGTTTTCCTCGTAACAGTTTATTTGAGTCGGTTGTGTTGTGAATAACTGTGTGCTGTTAAAGGTGAGAGGTCATCACCAGTTCAGATGTCTTCCTATTTCAATCTGATTCTTGTCTGTTATCTCTTTTTAAGCTGCCTTCATGAGCATGACCACCTGTAAGGATCCTTATTTAAACAAACCACCACGACACAGATGCAAAAGCAGTCTGACAAATATTTATACTTATTTTACCATCATATTTATCTGCAAAATACAGCTAATCACTTTTAAAACTACATCCCAGCCTACATTTCATGGTGTGTTCAATGTAGGAACGAAATGGGCTTGAGATATGGGCCCTGAATGGACCCATAGTCCCATACCGACATGTGAATTAGCCCATACCTCAACTCCAAATCATGCCTAGATTGGCCCCACCATGAAATGTAGGCTGGGATACATTACTGAGCATGATGCATTAGCCCTATGTCTATGCTACAACTTTATGCACATTTAATGTACGTTTCCTCTTCCTCGCTGCACAGGTGATGAAGACCTATCACATGTACAACATGGACAGCATCAACGCCGAGAGCAAGCTGAAGGATGCGGAGAAGCAAGAAGAGAAGCAGATGAGCCGCAACGTCCGACACGAGGACAGGCAGACCCCGCGCTCACCCGACTCCCTCACCAGCATCAAGATCGAGGAGAAACATGTGCGCCGCAGCTCCGTCAAGAAGATTGAGAAGATGAAGGAGAAGGTGAGCAGCCAGCGAGATCAGAGAATTCAAATGAGAAGGGGTTAATGGAAGGAGATATCAGAGTTTCTTGAACAGTTTAGGCAGAGAATGTGGAGGAAAGGTGAACGTGGGCAGAAGAAGAATGAACAGATGAAGGGGGATTTCAGAGAAATGGGAAAGGTGATGGAGTGGGAGTCGAGAGAGAGGGGCTGAAAGGAGCTGTAACCACTGCCAGATGGTGTTGAGGGTCCTAAACCTGATCTTGGACAGCTTTAATGACCTGTTGATAGTGGTTTATCCAATGTATAACACGCATCAGATATGTAATCCATGCTTATCATGGCTAAATAATCCTATGCTTATGAAATGCATGATTTTGAATGGTCAATCACAGCATTCTGCAGTGGTCTTTTCATGTCAATGAAATATAATAAAATTTAAAATAAATAAATAATTAAATTAATTTAAATTAAATTAATAAAATCAGTGACCAGAAATTGTTTTCATGCCCATTTACATATTTATTTTGTAAGTAGCAGTGTAACACACAGTATAACGCACAATCACTATCACAAAATAAACATTTTTAGGGTAAGACAAGGCTTAATTGGTTTGAGGGTTGATATAGTGATCTTGCACTCTCGTATTTCTGAGATTCCAGGCTGCAAATTCCAGAAATTTCCAATTCGATATGGTAATCCTTAGCACTAAACGGCAGCTTAATTCATCAAAATGAATGGCTCCACCATGACTGTATACACTGTGTTGTAGAATGTCATTTGATGATGTAATGAGATGACATGCGGTCAGGGGTCAAGCATTAGCATGTCTGGGACAGATATTGTTGTCAATCCATGTCTTTGTTCTTCTGGAGTCCTCTGGCTACCATCTCTGTCCAGTACCACCAGCTTACAGAATGAATGATGGGATCATCGCTGGGTTGTTCCAGGGCCACCTCTGTTTCCACAAGACCAACAGCAGCTCCTCTATGTGCGTCCCACTAGAGAGAGCCTGTGGTCATCCCAGCAGCATTTGCAGATGGAAATGTAGTGTAGTTTGTGGTGGCAGCTCTAACATTTCTATATTCAGGGAGAGCTAGTAGAAGCTAAACAAGGTGCCTTCCATCATGATCTTATGTTTGATTTTAGCTTTAAAGGTTTCGTTCACTCAAAAATAAGAGGTCTGTCATTATTTACCTACAATCTTGCTGTTCCAAACCGCATATGCTTTTATTTTTTACACAAAAAAATTTAAATAGATGTTTTCCCCATATTCATATGATACGGGTTTGACTTTGTGATGTTTGGTTTCGCAACAGTTGCGAACCAATGACGTTTATAAGTATTGACATACAACTCTCAGTGAAAAATTACTTGAGCTTTGGTGCCCAAAAATTCGAACTAGTTTTATGATGATTTTGGTACTTTATGGTACTTGTTTTGGAGTAATCACAATGAATCTGTCCCTTTCTGTTGTTGTCTCATTCTCCTGTTTTTACCTTTTATTCTCAGCGGCAAGCAAAATACACTGAGAACAAGCTGAAAGCCATCAAGGCCAGGAATGAGTACCTTCTTGCTCTGGAGGCCACCAACAACTGCGTCTTCAAATACTACATCCATGATCTGTCTGACCTCATAGATGTAAGTCCACCTTTATCTCATACCTACAGGTCCTTCTCAAAAAATTTGCATATTGTGATAAAGTTCATTATTTTCCATAATGTAATGATAAAAATTAAACTTTCATATATTTTAGATTCATTGCACACCAACTGAAATATTTCAGGTCTTTTATTGTTTTAATACTGATGATTTTGGCATACAGCTCATGAAAACCCAAAATTCCTGTCTCAAAAAATTAGCATATCACGAAAAGGGTCTCTAAACGAGCTATTAACCTAATCATCTGAATCAACTAATTAACTCTAAACAACTGCAAAAGATTCCTGAGCCTTTTAAAAACACCCAGCCTGTTTCATTACTCAAAACCGCAATCATGGGTAAGACTGCCGACCTGACTGCTGTCCAGAAGGCCATCATTGACACCCTCAAGCAAGAGGGTAAGACAGAAAGAAATTTCTGAACAAATAGGCTGTTCCCAGAGTGCTGTATCAAGGCACCTCAGTGGGAAGTCTGTGGGAAGGAAAAAGTGTGGCAAAAAACGCTGCACAACGAGAAGAGGTGACCGGACCCTGAGAAAGATTTTGGAGAAGGACCGATTCCAGACCTTGGGGGACCTGCGGAAGCAGTGGACTGAGTAGAAACATCCAGACCCACCGTGCACAGGCGTGTGCAGGAAATGGGCTACAGGTGCCGCATTCCCCAGGTCAAGCCAGTTTTGAACCAGAAACAGCGGCAGAAGCGCCTGACCTGGGCTACAGAGAAGCAGCACTGGACTGTTGCTCAGTTTTGCATGTCATTCGGAAATCAAGGTGCCAGAGTCTGGAAGAAGACTGGGGAGAAGGAAATGCCAAAATGCCTGAAGTCCAGTGTCAAGTCCCCACAGTCAGTGATGGTCTTGGGTGCCATGTCAGCTGCTGGTGTTGGTGCACTGTGTTTTATCAAGGGCAGGGTCAATGCAGCTAGCTATCAGGAGATTTTGGAGCACTTCATGCTTCTATCTGCTGAAAAGCTTTATGGAGATGAAGATTTCATTTTTCAGCACGACCTGGCACCTGCTCACAGTGCCAAAACCACTGGTAAATGGTTTACTGACCATGGTATTACTCTGCTCAATTGGCCTGCCAACTCTCCTGACCTGAACCCCATAGAGAATCTGTGGGATATTGTGAAGAGAAAGTTGAGAGACACAAGACCCAACACTCTGGATGAGCTTAAGGCCGCTATCGAAGCATCCTGGGCCTCCATAACACCTCAGCAGTGCCACAGGCTGATTGCCTCCATGCCACGCCGCATTGAAGCAGTCATTTCTGCAAAAGGATTCCCGACCAAGTATTGACTATTGAGTGCATAACTGAACATAATTATTTGAAGGTTGACTTTTTTTTTGTATTAAAAACACTTCTTTTATTGGTCGGATGAAATATGCTAATTTTTTGAGACAGGAATTTTGGGTTTTCATGAGCTGTATGCCAAAATCATCAGTATTAAAACAATAAAAGACCTGAAATATTTCAGTTGGTGTGCAATGAATCTAAAATATATGAAAGTTTAATTTTTATCATTACATTATGGAAAATAATTAACTTTATCACAATATGCTAATTTTTTTAGAAGGACCTGTATAGCTTCAATATAGCCTTCACTATAGCCAGTTTGTGAAACTTTGTATTTTGTACATGACTTGTACACACAAGTGTTCTTGTGTATTGTTATAAAGAAATGTATACAAAAAACACTTTTGAGCTAAACCACAAGTATTCCTCCTTAAGCCTGTTGATATTTGACAGCATAATGCATTTAAGCTCTTGGTGTTATTTTAGCATTATTTATGTGCTATTCTAGTTTATATTAATATTTTAAATGAGCTTTTTTTATATTTACAATTTTAATTTTAAATTTAGTAATTTTGTAATGTGCTTTTGTCTTTTTAGTAGTTTTGTATTATTCTAGAATCTATTTTTTGTAAAAAAATTGTTTTAATCATTTTAGTACTTCAACTTAAAGGGATTTTTCACCCAAAAATGAAAATTCTGTCGTCAATTACCCTCATGTTGTCCCAAACCTGTATGAGTTTCTCATTTCTTCATTTTTGGGAGAACTATCCCTTTAAACTTATTTCAGTTAGTTGCCAAGATAACATTTCTAATTTTCATTTGAGTTTTTTAAGTTTAAGTTTGTCCATCTAATATTTATATTTTATTTATTTAAGCTTTATTTCAGTTACTGACAACAATTTTGAATAAAGTTTAATTAAAAATTTTAGTGAACAGTAACAACACTGGTTTGAACTAGTTTGTTGAGTAATTAAAAACTTATGCTAAACAAATACCTGAAAAATATTATAAATGAACAAGCTTGGAGCAGATGAATGTCACATTCTGTTCTGTCTTGTCTGCACCTGTTCTTGTTAGTCCCTAATTAGTTAACCATCATCCACCTGTGTCTAGTTAGTTCCCACATTTACCCTGTGTATGTATTCTCCCGTTCAGTTCAGTCCCTTGTCGGTTATTATTCGTGTGTGCATGTTTCACGATGTTCTGCTAAGCCGTGACAATAATGAAATGAAACTCACACAAATTTTATTTTTATGTTTAACTGCATCTGAATGCACAAGAAATGATTACACTAAACTCAATGCAAATCTGCTATAATTAAATAATAAATAATTAAATCATTTTTGCAATTTTTTTTTTATTAAATTATTAAGTAATCAAGTTGCACAATTCAGAAAGTGTAAATAACTTGATGTATAGAAAATTTACAAAATGAAACATGTTAATGTGATAATGTCAAATGCAATAAAGCATAGAGACATATACTTCCGGTCATGTGAGGGCCAACCGGCACACTTTTCTTTTTTTACCCTGGTACTTTTTTATGACCTGTGCAACCCTTAAAGGAGGTTTAAATGTAATGCCCTGAATATGCCCATGTATAAAGTGTCCCACAATGTAGTAATTCCCTCTGACAGTGTGCTGCCTCATCGGGCTTCTTTCTTCGTGTGTGACCCTGAAAGTAGACTTATAGCAGCCCCTTGTGTGACCACCGCAAGAGGGCCCACTTGTCCCACCCTGTCAGCATCAGACTCCTAACAAGGCACCCAGAAAGTGGTGAAATCTCCTCCTCATATTACCCTCAATTGCGGGATACAGGGGCCCACACAACATGACGTCCTCTTTTCTGAGTGAGGATGATGGATTTAGTCTGAGCAGTCTTTCATTTGAAGCAATCAGAGCGTGGAAGTTGTAACCATGTACTGGTTAATAACCAAAATTGCGTTTTTCTCAGCGGGTGTTCAGGTCACACTATTATTATTATTATTATTATTAATATTATTAATAATATTTATATTTTTTTTAGCACTAATAAAAAAGTACTTGAATGTACTTTGTTGCTTTGGATGAAAATCTTTGCCAAATGCATAAATGTTGTGCTTTACTCTTGATTTAACTGCCTTTCTCAACATAAAATTTCCATTTGCAGCTTGAAAAACCAACCAAATGCCCTTTTTTTCTTTCCCTCTCTCAGTGCTGTGACCTAGGCTACCATGCCAGCCTGAGTCGTGCACTGCGTACCTACCTCTCGGCTGAGTTTAACGTTGAGACTTCCAAGCACAGTGGTCTGGAGACCATCGAAAATGCTGCAGAGAACCTAGAGGCCAACGCAGACAAACAAAGGCTCATGGAGACCTACAACAACGTCTTTTGCCCTCCGATGCGCTTCGATTTCCAGTCTCACATGGGTGATATGGTCAGTTGGTTTAATTATTATTCCTTAAGACATGACACTGCTGAAATGAAGTAATGGAATATGCAGAGGTGGTAATTATTTTCATGCCCCAAGCAATATACCAACAGCAGAGTCACACTGTGTAAACAATGACACAGACATTCTTAAGCAAGTGAGTGCAGCTTTACTGTTGCCAAATCCTTTTGCTCCAATATACTACATCAAAAATATTGATGATATCAGGAAATCAGCTCTGCTAAAAACCACTTGTTAATAAATGCTACAACGATCAGCGTTGTCGCTCTGAGAGGATGTGTCCTGCTGTTAGATGAGACTCTTGCAAGACTGTCTTCTTGCATGTCCGAACATACCCAGACACCTCTAGAGGAACTAAGCATTTCTCAATCAGGTGTTGCACAGTGACAGACATGCCTGGTGAGAGACCTCAGTTGCTTCAGCCCTGTATTATTATATATTGTCATTAGACTGGTCAGGGTTGGTTGAACACAGTGTGAATATTAAATTGGGATAAGAGGAAGAATCTTTAACATTGAAAAAATTACACACTACAGCTCTCCTAAAAGTTAACGTTTTTAATTGGATTAGATTTTTCCTTATTAAATCAATCACCAGTTGATTCAACAACGTTTTTAGCTGACCCTGCATCAGGGTCCTGGATGTTTGTATGTGTGTGATGAACAGAGCAGCTGGTTTTCCCCAGTGCACATGCACCCTATCTTGTGTTCAACCCTTTGGGACAGGGTGGACCAAAGGGAGCAAGATGTTCCCCAGCTGTTAGGGGAGGGAAAAGAGAGAGATCATGAAAGAGAGCGAGCGAGAGCGGCAGATAGAGGCTTGCTCGGGTCTCTCTGTTCTTCGGAGCACATGAGGACATTAGTTGTATGATCACTGCTGGAGATGGTTTTGCTTCAGTTCCTCTTCATTCTGTGTTTCTCAAACTCATTCTTCTCTATTTCTCCGTCAGGTGGGACATATGTGTGCCCAGCAGCCTGTGCAGGTTGAGCTCATCCAGAGATGCCAGCAGCTACTGTCCCGCCTGTCCACACTGAAGATAGAGAATGAAGAGGTGATGTACATATGGCCAAATAAAAAAAGAAACATACTCATTTATATACTGTCACTAAAATATAGCCACTGAAAAACAGATGCCTACATACATAACGTATGCAAACTTACAAGGCCTATACATTTGTACTCGTTGAGATTCGACTGCAATCATCTCTTCAAGAGTTGTGTACGCATCTACACATCTTTACTCTTTATTCCACAGATTTCTATACAGTTGAAATATTTAAATCAATACATTTGGCAGACACTTTTACCTCACTTTCAAACCCATGACCTTGGCGCTACATTCATAAGTCTACCAATAGGAGTGTTGCTCTGTTTAACATTATCATTAAACATGTATGTTGAAATCCATCAACTGAAAATGTAAAGGAAGTCTGCTGATTCTGTCTGGACCTCCACATAAGTCACTTTAATGCGTTTTAAATGGGCTTGCTTGGGAGGTAGCGTAACGTTGTTATTGGGTTCATGTTAGTGTTTCGATAAAGCATGTAACTTTCTCCAAGCTCTGTTAATTAAAAAAAACAAAAAAAAACAAATGTATCTTGTACACAGACTTTTGTGATATTTAAGAAACTAAACACCGAACGTTAGTTTCTCTCACACTGGAAAAAATCATTTTACTTAATCAACATTTTGGAATTGTCTTCCATTAAAATATTTATACATTATACATTAAAAACAAATTTACAACAAATTTACTTAAAATTGTATTATTTTGTTTAAGTTTATTAGTCTTATTTCAAATTTCTTTGTTTTAAAATATTAATCTGCCAAAATGTAGTGAGGTTTATGCTCATAAATAATACAAAAAACAATTAGCCAGTGGGGTAAAACGTCTCAATATCTTATGAAATTTTACTCCTGAAGTACATATTTCTTGTTTAAAGGATTTTTAGATATTTTTAATGAAAAACAAAACAAAAATACCAATCAAAAATGATTTAATGCAGTGCACTATTGTGTAGGAAATGAAATGTCTTGATTACAGCAGGAGAAATTGCTGTTTCGCTCACATATTCTGTTTGAAATAGGTGAAGAAGACGATGGAGGCCACTCTACAGACCATCCAGGACATGGTGACCATTGAGGACTTTGATGTGACTGACTGTTTTCACCACAGTAACTCAATGGAGTCAGTCAAGTCCACTGTGTCTGAGTCTTTCATGAGCAAACCCAGCCTAGCCAAGAGACGAGCCAACCAGCAGGAGACAGAACAGTTCTACTTCACGGTAAATGAGATGGAGAGGGAGAGAAACCAGTTAAATATGAGGTCACATGGTTGAAGAAAGGGTATGGTGGATTGGACGGTGGGAAATCTGTTGCTGGGAGCATGGAAGGACATAAAGAGAAATGGGAAAGGAAGGGTCATGAGAGGAGAGATAAGAAATTGAATGTTTGAGATACAGCTTAATGTCCTCTCTTCTCTATCAGAGTCTTTTAAGAAGCCTTTGATTAAGAAGACAGCAATTAGAGGAGACTGCTGCAGTTGACTGCTCTTCATTGATCTGTCCTTGTTTGTAGACCACTGAAACAATGTTGCATTGAAATTCTCAACAAATAACATTACAGAGGTATTTGTTCTTTAGACAGATTTGACAAAATACCCAGAACGCTGTTTCAGTCACATAACAATGCCCTGGGAGCCACAAAAAAACACCTTGGGGCGAGTTTATAGGGAAGACTGTGGTAACTCGTTGTCAACATGAATGTGTCTCAGTAACTATGAGATTTTAAGATTAAAAATAAAATAAAATACTAAATTAATTCTTGTTTTCTCTAGTGGTTTTTGAATGATAGTTTCAAACATCTAATTCAAAACCCCCAAAATAAAACATTTAATACAAAAATCTTAAATTATATATTATTTTATTTTATATTCTAGATTTTATTTTTGGGGTTTTATAATATTATATATTATTTATTTTATTATATTTTTTCAATCAAACTGTGTGTGTATACAGTATATAACTGAACAAAAATGATGTCTTTACATAAATGTTTTTTTTTTCTGAAATAAACCTGCTTTGAAAAATTCTGAACAAAAGGACAGTGAGAATATTATTTTCCATTCACTCTGGTCTAATATGACAATCAATGAATATTATCAACATGATCAACGAAGGCACACGATTAGCAAGCAGAGGTTTGTTTTTGTCACTTGATGTTGTACAGGCTGTTTTAGCACATCCCCTTCATCAGGTCATAACCTTATGTTTTCCTCCTCTATACATCTCCGTTTCTCCTCTTTCTCTTTAATTCCCTATGTACATTCAGTTTTTCTCTTTCTCTGCCAAAAGCACTAGTGCATGGCTCCATGTCTTGGCTATCCTTCCTGCGTCTGCATGAGTGTTATGCTGGTATGGCTGTGATATATGATGGATGAAATTGTAAGCATCTGTCCACCCACCCATTCGCTCTGCAGTTCAGGTTTCTCTCCATCAGTCTCCTGAACCCTCTATCTGTCTCTCCGCTGTCAGGTTTCCATCAGGTCAGGGTTCTCGCCCCCAAATAGCCATAAGCTATTAGAGCACATAGATCCAGTGTCTCCCTGTGCTCCAGTGGATATGAAATTAATGTTTACGCCAACAAGATGTATAGTCTCAACACTGCACAGCAAATTGAAATGGGTGGAGGAAGGATCCTTTGCCAGAAAGTTGAGAAAAGGAATGATGATTGATTGTACTGCTCACTTAATAGCTATCCAAATGAAATTTCTCAACAGTGTTTGTTCATAAGTGTTGAGATGATCTTGCAGTTGTGCTCGAGTTTAAATGTTTTAAATTTTCTGTTTCAGAAACTGAAGGAGTTTCTGGAGGGCAGGAACCTCATCACCAAACTACAGGCTAAACATGAACTGATCCAAAAGACTCTGGGAGAAAGTGAGTAATCTTTATTGAGTGATGTGTGCATGTGTTTTTGGGGACTCAATTGGAAAAAAACTAGTCATAAAATCGTGTGGGTGTAATATTGCTTTTATACAGCAGTTCAATAAGCAAAACATTAATATTGAGTAACTTGCATTTTAGACAGTAAGTTGCTTTTTGCTGTTAAAATAGTTCAAAATGAAGTCAAAGCAGAATCATCCATTGTACTTCTCAAAGCAACACATAGTAGTGTTGTTTTCTTCCTTAATAAATCAGTATTTTGAATAAACTGGTTGTGAAAATGATTCAGTGTGACTCATTCATAAAGACAGTAGCTATGTTTACATGCAATCAAATAATCAGTTAGTAATCAGGTTGATGACTCAATCAGACTGAAAATATTTCATGTAAACACCTCAATCGATCCGACTGAGATTGAATTTTCAATTGGATTGGATGGTGTAGACCTGTAAAAAAAAAAAAAACAAGCATGTAAATGCCTGAATCCAACTATTTTCTTAGTCCGATTCAAAAATACCTTGGGCATATGCGCAGTGCCGCAATGCATATCTCAACATACGTTTTTTTACGTGCTAAAATAGGTCTTCTGACGCGTCACACATGTCATTTATCTTTTTAGATACGTCATCAAGGAAAAAACAACAATTATACTCTATGTAGCTTCGGTGGGATTATCACTGTGGTTCTGAATGCAGCGACTGTAAATCATATGTGAATATGTGAATCATATTGAAAGGTTTAGGGGTCATATAAAAATAACTTTCAGAATCTGAAATTGGATTGGATAAAAATTAGTGCATGTAAACATACCTAGTCACTTTTTTATACCGGAGTAAAGCAGTGTTTTTGAATAAATCAGTTGAGTGAATGATTCAACTGACTCAGTCATAAAGACACTCTCTGCGTTTCGTTCCTGAATGAGTACGTTTTTGAATTAATGAGTGAATGATGGGCTCTTGGACTAATACCGTAGCACTGTTCTAACATTTCTCGACAAATCAAATTATTATTAATTTTTTTTTAAGGGTTGGATAGGGTAATGCACGTGTGGGATGTTGCAGTGTCAGGCAGAGAGGGTATTGGCAGGCCTTGATGGTGGAGGTCAAAGGTCATGTGCCATGCCACAAGACAGAGAAAATAAATCTGAAGAGAGAAGAGCACAGCGGGGATTTCCTGGAGTGTTTTTCACTCTGATGTACCTCCCACGTTCATTCCTCCAGACTGAACAGAACTGTCAGTTAGGACAGCCAGTGAACAGGAAATGAAACTGAGAGAATCAGACTGATGGCACAGATGATAACGAAGCAATAATTATGCATGATGAGAAGAGTAATGGTGTTGATTACTCTATAGAGGAATAACCAGCGCCATCTGAGACTAGTGCAGTCAGAAAGATGATTTAAAATTTTTGATATGAAGTAATAATTTTGTACATATTAACTTTCTCCCCCAATTGGAACTTGCACAGTTATAATAATGCCAGTGCTGATATTAACATTTTGGCCTGATAATAGCACTACTGGACAAAAGGTTGGGGTCAGTAAGTTTTTTTTTTTAAATACAGAAAAATCATAATATAGTGAAACAATTTTATTACAATTTAAAATAACCGTTTTCTATTTTCAGCAGCCATTACTCCAGTCTTCAGTGTCACATGATCCTTCAGAGATCATCCTAATATGCTAATATAATGTACAATAAGAAAAAAAAAATCATTTTAAGATTTATTAAATTATTTTGTGTTTTTTAATAAGCATTAGATGCAAATTTAAACTAAATGTAACATTTTGTAGAAAATAGCATGTATAATTAAATATACAATACCGGTGTTAATCATTACTGATAATCGACATTATAGCAACGAGTTCTGCATTGACAAACACCACTCACTTTTTCTTCAGAGCACCAGGATCTTCCTCCACTGGGAGATTTCAAGTGATGTAATTGTATATTGAATTTGTTGTTTAATTTTAAAACATCTTAGTTATTCACAGGCTGTCTTACTCATTTTTTTCCACTGAAAATGCCTCAGTAAATCCGGCCTTCGGTGTGAAATGGTGCGGGTACAGTGTGTGCATCCCCAGCTGTTACTCAGTGATCTGACAGAATGTTCTAGCACAGATTGAGGAAAACAAAGTGGTTTAGACGATTAGCTCATTGATGTCTGTTGCACGTTTGTCATTTGCTGAGTCAAACTACATGTGGAAAATAGCACGCTGCGAAGTCGCTGAATGTGTTTGGAGGGGAATATGTGGATATAGGGTCATATCCCACAGGAAGCTCCACTGTTACAGCACAGACAAGAAGTGGGACGAGTTTTTTATTCCCATAGGAAACCATTTCCAGCTGTGGCCTCTGCCTCACACATTCAGACTCCTTCTAACGGTTTCCCTCTCTCTTTTCCTTTTTTTCTTCTTGTATCTCTACCTTCAGGTCAGAAGACCGACTACTGCCTCGCCAGGTGAGTGCTGTGGGAAACCCACAAACAAGACGAAAACCATTTACACACAATAAATAATTTAGCACACATGCAGATGTTTCAAGGCCATTTATAGATGAATATCTTGTCTAGACATAATCATCTTTTATTCACATCTGCTGATTTATTTATTGAGGCCAGGGGAAGGTGATTTACTCTCCAGTTATAATTGAGTACGGAAATGGGAACGGACCTTTAAACAAGAGTTCACAGAAGAGACACAAAACAAGCGCTTTCACAACAAATACTAATGAAAGTTAGTACTGTGTGTGTGTTTGTTTAAATCCAGTGGATTAAAATAGGATCTTTCTCAGGAGGGTCATTTCTACTGGTCTAATGGCCACCGGCAGGTTATGAAGTGAATGCAGAGGAAAATTAGAGCAGTTTGAGGGAAAATGATCCATCATAATGACAGTGCTTCTCTTTCTCTCTCTCTCTCTCTCTTCTGCTTTCTCGTGTCCATCAGCGGACGGAGGAACTCCACTCTGCGGAAACAGGTATTTATCATCACTGGCTGGTAGAATTGATTAACTGACATTGCGATTCTTATTCAAACAATGCTGGATTTATCCACAAAAATTCATATTTAAAAAAAATAATTAATTAATAATAATTATTGTTATTGAAATGCATATACTGTGCGAGACAAAACATTCCTAACCCTACTTACTTAGATGTGTATCTGTATAATTATATTATATACACTTCCATGTGATATTTTGCTGTAAATGTGTATATTTTGTTTAATGCATGTCTTTAAGATAAGTAATATAACAGTAAAATGCCTGTGCCTCCCAGCAATCATTGTGCACATGGCAGTGGGATAAATTTGTAAACCGGGCCAGTATGATAAATTTAGCATACAGGTCCTACCACCTAAACCCTACAGGAGTTTACCACCTTACAGTATGAGTGAACGAACAAAAGGACCCACTGCATCCCCTCATTTGACCAACCTAATGTCCATGTCGCCCTCTAGTGAAGGATAATGATATAAGAGCAATATTCTGTGTTTAGAAGTCAAATGATTTGAGAAACATAAGATTTATAGGTAAAAATTAATACAAAAAAGCTTTGAAATGCTTTATATTCATGTAAGCATGTATTTGAGCGTGATCTCCGAGGAGTAGTTCAGGTCAGACGTGGCCCAAATTCCGCTTCGCTTAGCCGTTTCCTGTTCACCCAAATAAACAAAAGGAAGCTGTGGCGAGAAGCTGTCTCCTAGCAACCGTTGCCCCATTCCCCCATGGCTCAAACTGTGCTGCTTTTTCATCCCTTCTAAATTCTGTTTGATGCTTGCCTCCTTTTGCAAATATTTATTATTATTTGAGTCCCGTGCCGAGGAACAGAGACCCTTGTTCAGAAAGGTCCACCCTTCCCCCAGAATCATCTGAACAGACCTGCATATTTTCTCCTTCATATTTTACTTTCTATTTTTCTTTCTTTCCTTCTCTTAGGAGTCCAGCCAAATCATTCCCCTGATGGTGGAGAGTTGTATTCGCTTCATCAGTCGACACGGTGAGCTTGCTCTCTCTCTCTCTCTCTCTCTCTCTCTCTCTCTCTTTCCTTTTCTTGCCAAAAGCACTATTGCTGTGTCGCTCTCTGGACTTTAACTGATGAAATAAACAAAGTGTTCTGTTCCGCTTAATTTTATTATCAGTATATACCTCTTCCATTCCTTTAGCACTATCCATTTTTCCCCCTCTTTTTTTAGCATCAGAGGATTCATTGTTATTTCGCCCTAATTAAAACTAAACAAGATAATGCTATTTTTTAACATATTTTGAAAAAATAAATAAATCTTATACCATTTATTACCAGGGTTCCCAATGTCATGGAAATATCAAGGGAATTTTAAAACTGATTTGCAGACCTGGAAAAGTAATTGAAGTGAATAAATCCATGGAAAAGTCTCTAGTGAATATAAATGTTTCTGGTTATGGTCTGCTTAAAATATTTAACTGGTTAGAAATTACTTCTGATTTTATAAAATGGTATTTAAAAAAAAAAATCTTTGAATGACTGGAAAATCTCATGGATACTCATTGGTCAAATGTTGTGGTAACCCTGTCTTTTTGTAATGTGTGTCTTTAAGTTGTCATATACACAAATTAGTCAGATACTTCAGTAACCATGTTGACTTATTCAGCAGTAATTAATCATGAACAATAACTTATGTCTCTTAAAGTGATTAATTAAAAAAAACTGGCTTATAAGAGTCATTAGTTTGTGAATTGGGCTACTTTTGTCATGATGTGTTTATTAGTTTAAAACACAATAGAAATGATTTATAATAATCATTGATTTGTAATAATTTATAATTACTAATTACTTTTTCTAATTAAAATTACTAATTACTATATATTATTATTATTATTATTATTTAATTTTTTTATCCAATAAAGTTCAATTCAGACTGCAAACTCTCAACTCAATACTTTTTTTTTTCTTGCCATTGTGCTGTAGGGTCAGCTTCAATTTTAAGATTATATCAGTGTCTACTATGAAGAACAAACACGTCAGGTTGAGTAAACCAACACAGGACTTCCTGTCTATTCTGTGTCCATAACGTCATGTCTGTGTCTGTACAGGTCTCCATCACGAGGGGATATTCAGGGTGTCTGGCTCCCAGGTGGAAGTCAATGACATTAAGAACGCCTTTGAAAGAGGTGAGTCTATCCGGACTGTCACATGCTGAGGCTTCGTTTGTCTATTTCAAATCAAACTTGCATTATTAATGGGTCACTGTCTTCTCCATCATTGTGTCTCAGGTGAGGATCCGTTGGCTGGGGAACAGAATGATCACGATATGGACTCCATCGCTGGAGTGTTAAAGCTCTACTTCAGAGGCCTGGATAACGCCCTCTTTCCTAAGGAAGTCTTCCATGACCTAATGTCCTGTGTCTGTGAGTGTCCGCTTTATTTCCTACACCCACAGTACACGTGCGTACCGCAGACCAGGCTTACCAGATTAGACAATGGAGGAGCTTTTGTCCTAAATGAACTCATGTCTTGTTCATGTTGTTTTTTCCAGCCATGGAGAACCTCCAGGACAGAGCTGTCCACATCCACAAAGTCCTGCTGTCAATACCCAGCAACACCCTGCTTATCATGAGATACCTGTTCGCTTTCCTCAACCAGTGAGTTCCACAGATCAAAGCTCTTTCTGCATGTTTCCCCTAAAGTCTTTTTGTTCTTTGGGTTGTCTGTGATTTCAACTCAAGACAAGGGCTATAACAATCATTAACTCCCACTCATGTCCTTTCAACCCCGCATGACTTTCTGACAGCCAGGAAAACAAACTTTCTTACAGCCCAGATGCTCTTTTCCATATAATGAAAATGAATGCTGAATATATATATATAGAGAGAGTCAAGAGTACATTTTTCCATTTATCCTCATGCTAAAATCAACTGTAAATCCACATTTTCAGTTTCTTTCTAGGGGGCATGCCCCTGATTAGTTTGCATCCCTGAAGATATGAGCTTTTCAGTGATTAAAAGAATAAATAGAAAATTAACGGTTTGGAAGAACATGAGGGTGAGTAAATGATGACAGAATTATTTTGGGGAATGTTTCCTTTAAACCAGTACCCTTTTCCAGTGATTTATTACAGCTAAGTTTACTTCAACGTACAAAGAGCTTATATGCAATCTAAACTTACCATTTTACTAGACCCTTTTACTACAAATGTAAATATTCTCTTGCCAAAAAGAGAAAATTGGCCCATACCCAACCTCAGCTGAGGGCTACAGCACTCAAGCCTCTTGGAACCGTCCCTCCATATCTCTGCCTCTCATTCTTACACTCTTTTCCACCCTGTGGTCCTTTTGAAAGACCCTCCAGACCACAACACGATCTTAGCTTCTACTCCAGACCGCTGTTATGCACGCAGGCGTGTCTGATTTTCTTAAAGCATCTGAACCCTTTCCAGCCCTCGTATCACAGCCAGAAGGGGTAAGCGAATGTTTGTTGAGGCATGGTGTCGCCATCAAGCCCCCATTAGTGCTCCCATGCTGGATGTCTGTAGCCCTCAGTGAATGGCTTCTCTGTTTGCGCTACGGCCGATAGATCTTTCCTCCACTATAAAAGTCAATGGAGGTGCCAGAAGAGGTCTCTAAAGAACTGCTGCTCTCTCTAATGCGCTCTGGCCTGCGTTACAGCCAAATTATGTGCATCGTCCAAAGGTTTGCATGGTATACACTCACAAATACACATCAAGAGGGATGGTATAGATGTTTGCAGGACAAGGCAGGGTAATTGGAGACGCTTGTGCAGTTGTAACTGTCTGGAAAGGACAGTGCTCATAAATTTGGCTTGGAGCCTCTCCATGTGGATGTTTATGTGACCCTACTGCTTTTATCCCAACCCCCCTCGCCCCAAACACACATACAAATAAGGATACCTTTCCCCACTTTGTGGACACATCTGAGTTTTCAGTTATTAAATGGGCATCCTATTAAGTTAGAAGGGGGACAATTAAAAGAGTGTTACAATTCAGAGCAGTCTCACAGACACACATAAATGGGAGGAAGCTGGCTTAGGCTCATGATAAATGAGCTGTCGTAAGGAAGTGTAGATGGAGTCTCATCTGGAACTCAGTCTGTTTTTCACATTAGTCCAGCAGGAGCCGGTCTCTCCATGAGAATGGTCATATAATCAGGGATCAGTTTAACATGTTTCTGGATAGTATGACTAGTATTTTGTTTAAAGGTTTTGATATTTGGTATACTTCAAACCATCAAATCTTAATTGTATTTTTTTTTTTAATTATTCAATTGTAATTAAAGAAATGCATTTCATGTATCTATTCTCAATTTTATTCAATCCATTTATTTATTTTTAGGGCTTAATTATTATGACATTTTCTAACCTTTGGAACAATGCAAGTAGTTTTGTGCAGTATCCCTCATCTAACGTAATTTTAGGTTAATTAAAAACACCGACATAACAAGATTGTATTTTTTAAAGTTTGAAAATTACTTTGAAACTTGACACAGCATCAGCAAAAATAATTGCAAAAATACAGGCTTTTCTTAGCAAAATAGTGATATACGTTAAGTCAGGGTTTCCCAAACTGGGGTTCACAAACCCCTAGGAATGGAAAGCTAATTATTATTTATATATTTTTTACTAAAATAAATATTCATTAAATAAAAACAAACAAAAACACTTACTAAAAAGGATATAAAATATTTTTGTTGTTTTATTTTTTATGTTGTTGTTGTTATTAAAATATGAACTCAAAATTCAAGTAAAGTTTTAATTAACAATTAACATTCCTATATTTTGGTTAATTCCTTTTTATGTTTCTCTCTCTTTTAATTAGTCTGTCCCAGTATAGTGACGACAACATGATGGACCCCTACAACCTGGCTATCTGCTTCGGCCCCACACTCATGTCTGTGCCCGAGGGCCATGACCAAGTCTCCTGCCAGGCACATGTAAACGAGCTCATCAAAACCATTATTATCCATCACGAGAGGATCTTTCCAGGGCCTCGTGAGCTGGAGGGGCCCATTTATGACCGTGGAGGAGCCACTGAGGAATACTGGTGAGTCTAAAATCAGTGTGAGTGAATTCGGTTACAAAGAAGAAAAAAGGATGAAAATGAAGCACATTACTTGGCAAAATTCATTGGCAGTGAATTTTGGCCCCATGTTTTATTGGAGCAGCTGCTCAGCCGAACCGCAAAACCAGAAATGAGTTGGTCAGACGCACTTGATTTAATGCAGGACAGGTCTGAAATGATGGATTGGGCATTATAAAGATAAAGAGACATTATAAAGACCAACAGAGCCCTACAGGGAGCCAGTCACGTTTTAAAGTTTACATCCTACATATTTTCTGCTCATTTAAGCTGTCAGTTCAATGGTTGAAGACACAGATAGATTTCTGACCCCCAGAAATGTCAGCACACCACCTAGACTCCCAAAAGATGTCACAATGAAGGCAACCAGAACTGTGGAAGGCAGCCAGACTTATAAAGCATCATCATGAAAAGTCTGATTTTAAATAAAAAATGAGGTTATCCTCTCTGCTCAAGGCCAAGCGCTAATGAAATGCCTCCTGTAGCTTTTTAATAACTGTTTTGGATGTCAAAGAGGAAATGACTTCAGATTTCTGTGTCACCGTGAGAAGAAAGCAACATATCCAAATCAGGTTTGTTTGTGAGATGCAGGCATAAAGACGTGGCTCCTTTCATGTGGTTCTCATGCATGGGATTGTTTGGATTGCATGGGCGGTGTAATTAAGACTTTGAGCTGGTGAGATGATGTGTTTTTAGCTCAGGGTTTAGTCAGAGTCTCGTTTCAGTTTCCTGAGGCTTTAAGTCACGTGAAGTCGAGACACGTTGACAACATACTGTAGTTAACACATTGCAAACTCAGTTCCTGACCTGATATGAATTACTGTTCATTCTGTATTTTAACTTCATCTACATCTGTGTAGCCTTACATCTGAATTTGAGATTCACCATTCATGTGAAAAAAAAATTTCAGTGTAATGTAAAAAAGCAAACATTTGCTTTATTTTGACAGTCAGGGTGCATTATTTAACTAAACTTTTGGGTGAATATCAGAAAGAAATGTCCAGCTCATATTACACCCCAAAATTAGAAGAAAAATCAATATTTCACATAAAGAAAATGAAGGCTATTTTAATACACAAAGTGATATTATTTTCATGAAAATTGAGGACATTTTCCTCCCAAATTCTCATTTCTGTATTGTGAAACATAAAATTCAGCACAGACGCATATATTTAATTATGTATCAAATATATATATATATATATATATATATATATATATATATATATATATTATATTAGGCAAGAATTGTCCTGAAACTGTTTGACGAAAAAATTAAGTTTTTGACAGAGAAATTCACTTGTCTTTCGCACCGTGATCATCACTGTCCTTACACATGCAAAAGTAAAAAATAATTGTCAAAAATTTTTCTGAGATTGATGCTGAGAGCAGAATGAGACATGCAGTGTCTCTGGGGAAGACATTAAGAATCAGAGCAGCTTTTGACCTCCCTGAACACAAACTCATCTGCTCATGGGTGAAGAAGCCACGAGGATCATTTTACCTTAAGAGCCCAGATCAAAGCTTACACGCACTCTCTCAGATGGAGTGACAGGAGGATCACAGGGTCTTCTTCACCAACTGACTGCTCAGTGAGAACAATCTGTCATTTTAAAGATTCACTGAAACACTGATGGACGTGTGCTTTGCCAAACCTGCCTGACAATGTCACCCTACACACACCAGGCAAAGATTAGCATTATACAGTCATTACCCTTAAGTTCCTTCTGTCTAAAGCTGCTCTCTAATGAAACTAAGCTTTTCATTAGCCAAGACTTCATGCTTGCCAACTGTATGTAATAAAGCGGGATGGTCTTAGTGAGATATATTCCAGCTGGGTGGAGTACTGCACTTTCACTCTACAGAGCTTGAATTTCCTCCAACGCATGATACGAGAGAGCAGCTTTTATTGGTTCAGTGATGACAGTAAATTAGTCAGTGTTTTTGCTTGAGTGCTCAATGGGTTTTATACTAAATTAATAGTAGGATATTAGAGGGTTTCTTGGCCTGTGAATGGCATAACAGAGCTGTTATCAGCATTGAAGCCTGCATGACCTTGGAAACGAGCCATTTTCCTGTGCGTTAGTACAGTGTATTCTGGTCTCATTAGATTCCCCACAGGAGTTGAGTGAGGGCCGGTTCAGTTTGGAGTCAAGAGGCCACAGGAAGGTCCAGCTTTGATCCTCGTATCTGTGTTCTGCTTCCTGTTTTGCTTCAAAGAAGCATGAACACACTGTTTCAGGAATGAAGAGAGAGACGTAGAGAGACCTAAAGGCATAACTGGTTCTCAGAAATATCCACATTCATTTCGGGAATATTTTTCGTGCTTCTGCTCTTTCCCTCCCAGTCCAGTATTAAAAATTACAAGAATTGAAACGTTTGAGAACACCTACTCATTAGATTATTACTATTTTCCTCATTTTGTAATAAGTTGTCAAAACTATGAAATATATGGGAATTATGCAGTAAAAAATTTACACAAAACTGGTGGATTGTGACCCAATAAGGGGTCATGATTGGGTCATTATTTGCATGTGAAATTAAAATAATAAAATGCAACTAAACCTATAACCATGCATATTAATAGTATTATACAAATATTAATATTATAAACAAGCTTATCAGCTTCTTAAAAAAAAAACACACACACATTCTTGTGTTGTTGGTGGCAAAACGTGGTATTTTGGTGCATTTTTTAATATTTATTTATTTATACAATTGTTCAAAAGTTTGGAGTCAATGTTTTTTTTAAAGAAATACTTTTATTCAGCAAAGATGCATTAAATCGATCAAAAGTAAGAGTAAAGGCACTTATAATGTTACAAAATGTTTCTATTTTAAATAAAACAAAATATTAAGCAGCACAACTGTTTTCAACATTGATGATAATAGTAAAACATGTCTCTTTTGGTCAAATAAATGCAGCCTTGGTGAGCATAAGAGATGTCTTTCAAAAACATTTAAACTTTTGAACTTTTGTTTATTTATCTTTTATTTATTTGCTAAATGATTTCACTTAAAATGGAAATTCACACCTTCACACAATTTATATTTATCTTAATTTCAAGCATTTAAGCAGAAGCCTGTGCATCACAAGGTCTGTGAGAAACATAAATTTAGTCAGGTGTCACCAAACTTTTAATTTGTTAGTGTATATGCGAGTATGTATTGAATGTAAATTGAATGTAAAAACGTTTGTGTTGTTGTCATTTCTAATGCTCTGAAGTCTGTAATGGAGGTTTCCACTGATTCATCTTTCTTGCTGTCAATCCTACAGTGATAGTCCACACATTGAGCCCCCCCTAGTGGATGAACCCGCACCTGACACCACCTCTGAAATCCACAACAGCGATGATGGTGAGCCTAGACGCTATAGAAGACCATACTAACATGCACACAAAATCTTCCAAAAGACACTGCACCAAAAGTCTGCTCCTATGTCACACTCCTCTGTCTGTGCTCCCACTCTGCAGCTCCAAAGCCGTTTTGATGAGTGTGCTCTAACCTGCCTGGCTTCCCATGCAATAACCTTCCCATGCTCTCTCTTCCCTCTCGCTCTCTCCCCTTCCCGTCTTTCTCTGTCTCTCATGTCTCTAAATAGTAAAGTCAGGGTCCTTGAACGTTTCAGAGTCTGACCCCATCGAGGCCATCGCACGTTTCGACTACACTGGACGCACCAACCGCGAGCTTTCCTTTAAGAAGGGGGCGTCTTTGCTGCTGTACCACCGTGCATCTGAGGACTGGTGGGAGGGTCGCCACAACGGCGCAGAGGGACTCATTCCACACCAGTACATAGTAGTGCAGGACATGTAAGCTGTCCGGTTTATTGATTTTAACTAATGATATTGGTCAGAACTGCTTTTCTAATGAGTTAGTGAGCTAGTAGAAGTTACTCATCTATGATCTTAACTAATAGTAAGACCACCTATAGTGTGTTAATTCTAGAGGTGTCTGTGATTTCGTGTAATAGGCCGGATGGATATGCAGGCAGAGGAAGTCCCAAAGCTGACCTAGAGGCATCCCATGATTCTGTGGAAGAGAAGGTGTCCTCCAGAGCCAGTGCCAGTTCACCCATTGGAGGCCATGTGGCTGATATATACCTAGCTAACCTCAACAAGTAAGTTGATAAAAATGGTGAAACTAAAATGAAAACATTTATTTTATATATATTAGGAGCTGTCAAAATCAACGCGTAAAGAAAAAATTAAAACGTTTTACAAATATTTAGCGCAATCAACGCAGCATTTGGCTAGCATTACATTAAATGATCAATCTCTTATTCATGCAAATGCTTTTAAACCATTAAAGCGTGATAAGACACAAAAGAGAACGCAGTGTTGGCGCGGATCTGTGAATCTCCTGTCTGTGACACACATGACTCGTGTGCACAGAAAGCCACTTTAGACAGCACTTGAACAGACAAAATCGCACAAAATTATGCCAAAATGCCCGTTTTGTCAAGTATTTTAAGTCTTAAATGAGTTTAAAATAAGTCTTAATGGACCATAAAGTGTTGTGAGAAAATGGGATGTGTGAAAATGATGTCATTAAGGATAATCAAAGAACAAAAGAAAAAGAGAAAATCACTCAATGCTCTTGACTGAATAACTTTTGTAGCTTTAATAAGGATTAATCTATATTTAATTTATAATTTATGCAGTGAAGACTTTGGAGGGGTTGTTAACTTTATTCAGTTTCTGTATATTAACTACCTGTTAGACCTACCTGGAAATCTTAAAAGCACTGTTTACAAGGTCACATGGGTCAAAAACAAAAACATTAATAACTTTTTGTGCATTTTGACAGGGCAAGTAAAAATCTGAACTGGTCTGAAAAAATTGAGCCCTGATATATTGAAAGGCATAGGTAAATGTGAAGTTCGCTTAAATTAAAAGTTGTAATTTTTTTTAAAGCCTAATAAATATATAGCTTTCAATTATACTTTGATGCTGAATGGCTATAATTAATGGATAAAATTTAGAAAAAAATCTATTTAATAGAGACAGTATTGTATCTGTGAATACTGACCTTCTTTCAAAAAAAGATGCCATTAAACAAAATATAGGCAACTGTCTGTATGTTGTTTCTACATGAATCTGGAGATTAAATGTGAAATTATTACAATATAAAAATATATTAAAAACTTTAATGTTAGGTGCGATTAATCACGATTAATTACAGAAAAATCTGTGATTTATTTAGTGATTTTTTTTAATCGTTTGACAGCACTTATATATATATATATATATATATATATATATATATATATATAAATAATGGTGAGAAATATTAATTAAATATATTAAAAAAGGATATAAGACATATTTACAATATTTTGTAATATGTATTAAAAAAATTTTAAATAATTTAATATTTAGTCTCTTAAAATGTCTTAATTGCAATTAAATTCTTCTCATATCATTCAAATAAATTCTTTTCATAATATTGACATTTTGCCTACACTTTATCCACCTCAGGTTGAGGAAACGTCCAGAATCAACCAGCATCCGGAGAACAATCCGGACAGTGGAGGGGCTTGGTGAGGGCTCATCTGGAGCCGCAGGGGGGTTAAAGACCTCCTCCATGCCTGCAGGTGGACTGGCCAAGGAGGGGACAGACAAGCGACCAGTCAGCGCTCACAGCGTCCTGAACTCCATCACTCGCCACTCATCTCTGAAGACTAAGGTGGAAGGTCCTCAGCTCCGAAAGTCTACGCCTGCAGGACGATCCAAGAGTTTCAGCAACCACAGACCACTGGACCCGGAGGTCATCGCTCAGGTGGAGCACAGCTCACAGGTACAACAAGACCAGAATCATTCAGTTCTTCACTGCTGCACATGATTCATTCAAACGTATTATTTCAATTCAGCAACATTCAAACCCTGTCAGCTTTCATTCAAACTTACACTGAATAAAAATGTCACGCAGGTAAACTGAAAGTCCATTTTCCTCTCCGTGAAAAGTGCTGAGCTCTCCAGACAGAGTGTCTGTGTATTAAAGCGTCCCATTTATCTTTCTTTGAGCTGTAATTTCACGGCTGGATAGAGGTCCAGGATCGATACCCAACTGTGGTTGGAATTCCTGCGGTCAAGTCATCCTTTGTTGTTGTACTGCCTGTACAACAGATATCAGAACGGACTGACCTTGGCTGAAACTAAAGCTACAAATGTTGTTTATTTGAAAAGGAGTGGAGTACTACAAAAATGGCACTAAACACCATCAAACTGTGGTTACCATACAAGGTCCAAAATAAAAACGTCAAAAACCATTTCATAAAATAGACTTCAAGTTAGTTGGTCAGTACCTTTTTTTCAATTGTAATATTTTTGTAGATAATATTTTGTTTGCGAACAAAATTTTATATTAACCAGTTAACTAAGCCTTCATAAGAGATACATTTATTTAAAGTTATGCATGACCTTTTTTGAAGGTTGTTTCAATTTTGGTTTTATATATGAGACCGCAAACATGTTGTGTGTGAATTCAAGTCTTTTATTAAATTAAATTATGTTACATTACATTACAATAAATTAAATGAATTAAAATACATAACATTTAAAATTATATATATTTATTTTAAAATGTAAAAATAATAATATATTTAAATACATTTTACATTTAAAAATAATAATAAAATAAGAAGAACAGCATAAGAAGTGTTGTTTGTTACAAATATATAAAATAATCACATACTGTATATAAAATTTGTATTTGTCTTCTTTTACTTCTCTTCTCTCTTTGTCTTTTCCCCCCAGGACATTGAGGCCACTATGAACACGGCTCTAAGTGAGCTGCGGGAGCTGGAGCGGCAGAGCAGTGTCAAACACGCTCCTGATGTTGTGCTGGACACTCTAGAGCAGCTAAAAAGCGGCGGGGCGTCTGAACCCTCCAGCCCGCTTCATTCCCGCCTGCTCCGCGAGGCCGACTCCTCCCAGCATCCTCTGCAGCGCAGCGCCAGTTCGGCAAGCGACATGCCCTCCACCTTCCGGCCCGGCAAGAGCGCCGGTCCCAAGAGCCCTCTTTCGTCAATGTCTACCACAGGTCTGTCTGCTTCCGGCTCCAGCTTCAGAGATAACAGACCCCCAGCCACCAAACCCAAGCCTGTTGTGTTCCCAAAAAGCAGTTCGGCTGGGGGCAGTCCAGCGATGGGATCCCCGACCACCACCATACCACCAACACCACCACCACCACCACCCCCTCCGCCACCCACCGACAAGTCCTGTCCGGTCTGAGGCTTTACAGCCTCTATTCCAATCTGTTTCTTAGTAATTCCAAGAGCACCCTCTGATACAGACTTTTTGTTTTGGATCTTAACAGAAAACTGCGGACAACTTAACGGACTCAAACTGATATTGGAAGCTTGCGTGAGTGAGCATGAGTGTGTGTGTGTGTGGAATTAATAAACTATTGGAGTGATTTTACAGCACTGTTTTAGTTTGGATTGAGACATGGACATCAGCAATCCCTCTTTTCTAATCCCAAATGAGTGGTTTGGAGTTTTTCTGCCTGTATAGACTGATTTTATGGGAAAGGGGTCAGACTTTGAGGACAAACAAGCAATGGATAGACTTTTTTCCTCTCAAACTCGGGTGCTGGCGCAACTTGAAGCAGGTTACAGACGGCACAGCATCGCAGGGAATCGAACAAAAAAATCCTTGTCACATGACACCTCCAACATAACTCGTCTTTTTCAACAGATTCTACAAATCTGTTATACAATTATCACTAGTTACAGTGCATTTATCACCATATAATCCACATTGGCACAGTTTCTGCTTCTCTTTTAGCGAATCCAACCATAGACGTGCACCTAAACATGACAAAGGTGAAGGAACATCTTTGCATGAGGATTCAGAAGATATTTGCATGGCGAACGGACACGGCTTCCATTTCCATACCGGTCAAAAGCACTTCTGAAATTATTATAACAGTCTAACATTTCATTTTATTGTAATATTATATCTATCAGTGGGCACATTAAAAGAGGGTGTTGTTTTGTATAAGTTTAATAATTATGATTATAACTGGAAAAAAAAAGTGTCTAAAAATGAGGAATGTCATGCAAGCACATTATTTCTTCATCACCTGTGTATAAAAAAAACAAAAACAGATAAAAGAAAAATAATTTTATTTAATTTTCCCTATAGTTTGTTAATCACCTCTGGGTCTGTATCATGGTATCTATGTATTAGTATGTGTGTTTACGTACAGTATATGTATATTCAGAATCTTAGCAGCCTAACAGCAGTTTTGTAGAGTTTTATGGATTTACGATGCAAAAAGGGAAAGACTTCAAACTGACTAAAGGGACACACATGTAAAAACATGGCTCGCTTTCCTCAGTTTTTCAGACTCAGAAAGGATAAAATGTGCAAAAGGGTCTGACAATCTGCCTGTCCAAATAGCTAAATGTCCCTCACACAGCCTGATTATGCCTTCGAATGGATCGGACAAGTCTGTATTTTCCTAAGCGAGGCCTTATTATTCGAGAAAATGAGTTGTGGTGGTTGGCGAAAGTAGCTTGCTTCACTTTGAAGCATTATGAGCCTTGAACAGTCTTGCATGGCTGACCGTGACTCCTGGAAAATATCTATGGACAGATCAAGATGTTTATGACCGAGGCATTTTTCCCCTTTTCTTTTTTGAGGACGAGCCTTTTTCTAACGCATTATTTTCTGAATGTGCTGTCGTGTTCTGAAAACATCACAGGTGGTGACATTTGTTCATGTGTAAATGATTGGAAGTGTTCTGTGTGTGTTCCTGATACCTCAAAAAGGCAACTGGAAACTGTCTTATTGGAGTTGTTTTGTGGGTGGGACTTTTACATGCAAATGACAGCAGGTAATTCATGATGTGTGTTAAATGTGTAATGTTAATAGTATGCTGTTGGCCGAGGCCTCTGTTTACACACAAAATGTTGTCTTTCATTGAGTAAATTTGAAATCAATCATTATACACTTGAATCTGCATTGTATGTTTGTGAACAAATCAAGTGGGGGTGATTTTCTTTCTCTTTTTTGTAATCATAACTATTGTTAAAACGTAATTCCTGTCCAGTTGAAGCAAGACTGTAAAATGAATTGTCTTGTCAGATATATTTATAGTTGTCCATTCAGATATCTGTTACCAGAGAAACCTGTGTTCAGATGTACTTTGTATATACAATTGTGTACATTACAGAGGTACATTCTTCTTCTTTTTTTCCATATTTTGTTTGTGGGTTGTTTTCTTTTTGGTACAATATTGTACAGTTACAGCAATAGTAGTTGCCACTCAAATATACATGATATAATTCCACGTGTAGTTCTTGTAGTAAACATTTTTAAATAAAAAAAATTGCTTGCTAAACGTGTATTTGATTGTTTCAATAAAAAGATGCAAAATGTGAAAAATATATTTTAGTTTTTCATTTTAAATAAAAAAAAATACTTTCTAAACCTGTCTTTGATTAAATGCTATAGTAAAATGTGTAAAGTTTGTATTTTTTGTTAATATCTTTTTCTCTTTTCATTTTAAAATATAAATGGGCATGGATCTCTTTCTGATCCATTTTAGTGTCAATCTGAGATGTCTTGTTAAAGTAGCTGGCATTTTACCTGCCATTACACAAAAAGCATTCATACAAAGTTTCAAACATTTGTTATTTTTTTTTTATTTTTTTTTTAAATTCAACATAGCAAGGAATTTAATTAGGAAAGTAGAGAAATGTGTCCACATTTCTTACTAATGATTAATATATATATATATATATATATATATATATATATATATATATATATATATATATAATTTAAAATGATAATAATATAATATATAATTTAAAAAAAATGTATTTGCAACACAAATTGTGCACAAGTCAAAGATACTGTCAGAATGTTATGAAGAACCTGAAAGTGCCTATTTTGTTCTTGGGGAAATTCCAAATAAATTTCAAGTGGCAAAATGGTGATACATTATTTAGCCTTAGCAGGAAATATGGAAATTTTTTTCCGAAATCTAAGAGCTTTGTAAAGAAATTCCTAGAATATGCTAATCTAGGTAAAAGTTCTGCGTGTTTTCTTTGATCAGAAGTGAGATATGCTTTTCTAGAGAAGTACGTTGCAAGAAATGGTTGCTGTATGATTGGTGACATGCTGGTGAATCATATCATGTATGCAGATGACCTTGTTATTTTTAGTCCGATTAGTGCTGGGCAGCAGGAGCTTCTTAATATATGCTCTGGCTATGGGGTGGAATTTGATATAAAATACAATTCCAGCAAAAGTGCTGTTTTAATATGCAGAACGAAACAGGATAAATGGCTTAATTTTCCTGTGTTCATGCTAGCCAATAATTGTCTTGAGGTCCGCATAAGATTAAATACCTCGGTCATTGTATTACAGATGATATGAATGATGATGATGACATATACAGACAGTGTTATAAGTTATATGCACAGGCAAACATCATAGCACGTAAGTTTAGTCACTGCTCTACTCAGGTAAAAGTGGCTCTGTTCAAAGCTTACTGTAGATCACTTTATACTGCCCATCTGTGGTCTTCTTACAAAAAACCAGCATGCAGAAGTTAAAAGTTGCCTACAATGATGCAATGAGAATTTTACTCAAGGTTCCCAGAGGAGGAAGTGCTAGTCAGATGTTTGTATCTGTAGGAGTAATCACACTGAAAGCACTTTTAAGAAATGTGATGTATAAGTTTATGCAACGCCTGGATGAGTCAGTCTACCAACAGTATCATGGTGGCACTCTCAAATCCCTTAGTGAGCTGCTCCAGGTACACATCCAGACTGAGAGTGCATTGGCTGAAATGTCTGTATGTATTTTAATTCTTGTATTTGTTTTTTTGTTTTGTGTGTTGTTATTTGTCCTGTCTTGCGTGTTTTTTTGGACATGAGTCTGGCAAATAAACTGAATTGAATTGAATATGTGCTTGTCCCTCTGCATCATATTGTGATTTAAATGGCATCCGCTAGAGGGCGACATAAATATTTTGGTTTGTTGTCACTTTTCTTTTTTTATTATTGTGGACTAAAATGGTTAGTGGTTTGCCAAATAAACGAAATACTATGACCCACAATATAACATTTTAACTTGTGTTATTTTTCCTATCTAACCTTAGTCTAAAATCATCTACGGAGAAACAAATAGGCCTACACAATAAGTTACCCTTTACAAACGCGATGCACCGAACAAGGAAGTTCCTAACAGAAATGAAAGGAAAGTAGATGGTGACCGAGTTTCCGTCGAGCTGCTCTTATAACTTCTACTGGAGGACTGCCAGAGTAATTAGCCTGTAGAAAAACACAAAAACATTTGACAAACTCGGATTAAAGTGGAAAATGCGTCGGCATTTAACACACAAATGGTTGGTTTGTTTTTGTATTTTCGTATGTTGTCAAATCAGAGCGATGACGATGATGATGTTAGGGGAAATCCTCGCAGTGTATTCAGAGTGTCGGCAGTTTATTCACATATCGTCTTTCTATAAATAATAACTAATTTTCGCAGAAATATTGTGATGTTTTTTTCTTACTATTTGTTTGCAGGTCATTTAGGAAGGAAATGGACCTTATTTGACACTTCTGTTGTGATGCGACTGTTGAGACGTTTTGAGGTAAAAAAAATTCATCGGCAAGTCACTTTTGATACACACTTGTTTAATCACACCTGATTTACCTTACGTTCAGCACATAAAACACTTAAATCTTAAGTTCTGGAGGAATGTCGAAACTTAACAGACCAGGGTTTCATTCTACATGATTTACATATTACCTGAGCTCAGGTATACTGAAAATTGACTTGTTTGTGTATGTGTATGTGTGTGTGTGTGAGAGAGAGCGTGTGTCCACATAGCTATGCAGAAATTCATACCTAAGCTCAGGTAATATGTAAATCATGTTGCCAATGAAATATGTTTAGATATACAATATTTATTAATATAGGCCTATGTGTATGTGGGTGTACAATATATTTTAATTGGCAACATGATTTAGATATTACCTGGTTACCAAAGGTATGAACTTCTGCATATGGACATATATGGACACACACACACACACATATGGACGTGTGTGTGTATATATATATATATATATACACAGACACACATACACATTTTTGTGTTAAATGTTCAAATAGTGTTTGGTGCCACTGAGAATACTTTATTAATCCCATGAATAAAATTGCAGTACCTTTAGGGGAAAGGTAAAATCATGACAGTACTAAATGAAATGCAATCATGAGAGCGATTAAATTATGAGAGCAGTTAAATTAGAGCATTAAATATAAAACTTAGCATTAAATATTTACTGCTTCAGAGGTTTTTTTTTCTTTCTTGTCATACACAGATCCAATCATGTCATCCGCTTGTGTCAACACAATGACGGCAAGTACAGCAAACCACCTTTGGTCCCTGGATGATGTTCTTGGTCAGGGGGCGACAGCCAGCGTCTTCAAAGCACGAAACAAAGTACTTTACCATCAACAATGTTTTCCCAAATCCCTTACAAAAACAGCGCATAGACTTGACATTTCACGCTAAATTACTTTATATTCCTGTAGAAAACAGGTGAGCTGGTGGCCGTGAAGGTCTTTAACTTGGTGAGCTACAATAGGCCGTATGAGGTGCAGATGAGGGAGTTTGAGGTGCTGCAGAGGCTCAATCACATCAACATTGTTAAACTCTTTGCTGTGGAGGAGGTACGTATCTGATGTGGTTTGTGACGCTGTCCAAGATTTTCCAGCTATGATAAAATGCTTTGATGTTTCAGTTTCCTATGATGCATTTTGTCTTGGTCAATTATGGACAACTGTGTGCAAGGGTTTATATAGATGTATAAAAAGTTTGGGGTCTGTAAGATTTTTTTTTTTTAAAGAAATAAATACTTTTATTCAACAAGGATGCATTAAATTTGACAGTAAAGACTTTAACGTTGCTACAAAAAAATCCAATTCAAATAAATGCTGAACTTTCTGTTTATTAAATAATAATGAAAAAGTTTTTTTCCACAAAAACCTAATAACAAAATATTAAGCAGCACAACTGTATTCAACATTGATAATAATATTAATAATAAATGTTTTTTGAGCACAATGGAGTTGTGACGGCTGGAAATTCAGTTTTGCCATCACAGAAATAAATTATAATATTACTGTTTTACCGTTTTTTTATCAAACTATAGTGGCATAAATGGCAAAAACAAAATATAATAATAATTGTAATATAATAATAACATTTTCATGCTGCATATTATGTTTTATTGTTGCAGTCTGTGAAATAAAAAAAATCTGTTCTGTTAGTTGGTTATAGTCACTTAAAAATAATGTGTATCGTATCAATTATTAAAAGGCAATATAATTTGATCTTAAAATGAGATGAAATGAGAACATTATTTCCAAACATTCTATAAAACTTGTATGACTCTTCACCTAAAATAGATCTGAAAATGTCATTTTTAAAGCACTACTATTTTTATTCCTGTGCATGTCAGATGCATATGAACCCGAAGCAGAGGGTTCTGGTGATGGAGTTCTGTTCAGGTGGCAGTCTGCTGAACCTGCTGGAGGAGCCTGAGAATGCGTTTGGACTTCCTGAGTCCGAGTTCCTCATCGTATTGCAGTGTGTGGGTAAGAACCGACAGAGTAAATTAAGTATGTAAATAGTAAGATCAGTAGTTCCGAGTAATGACTCGCCTTATTATAGTGGGAGCTTCCCACTATAATGGTGTGTGTGCTCATGCTGAATTGGATTCAGACTTGACAGCCATGCTTTTCCGGGCTACTCTGCGCCCCGCAGTGCGACGCTGATGCAATTATCGCATTGGCTCTTTTTATTACACTCGAAGTAGATTGGTCTCTCAAAGCGATCCCAATCAGTACGGTACGTCCCTCCTTCAGGAAACGAGAGTTACATACGTAACCGAGACATTTCTGCTCTTGTTAGGAGGCATTACTGTGGATAAACTGTGCTTTTCTCCCATTTGCACATATACAGTCCAAGGAATGAACCACCTGCGGGAGAATGGAGTAGTGCATAGGGACATCAAACCTGGAAATATCATGAGGCAAGTGGGTGAGGATGGCCGCTCGGTGTACAAGCTTTCAGACTTTGGTGCTGCCCGTGAGTTGGAGGATGATGAGAAGTTTGTGTCCATATATGGCACAGAGGAATATTTGGTAAGGAGGAAACGCTGTTGAATTGTTCAATAAACTCAAAAGCTTCCTCTTCCTGTATTTTTTTAGCCATTCACAGAAAATGCAGCACATCATATCTGAAATGTCATCAGGTGTTTGTTGTGGTTCCTGCGATCTGTCTGTGAATAAAGTTGGTCTCTGATATAATAACTCTTGTGAACTTGTGTGTTTCAGCATCCAGACATGTATGAGCGTGCAGTATTGAGGAAACCTCAGCAGAAAACTTATGGTGTGTCTGTGGATCTGTGGAGCATTGGCGTCACCTTCTACCATGCTGCCTGTGGCAGTCTTCCCTTCATACCATATGGAGGCCCACGCAAAAACAGGAAGATCATGTAAGAAATTGATTTTGAAAAAATTATATAATTATAAATGATATATTAATCATAACTGTAAATGATAGAATAATTGATTATGAATAGAGCTACTAATAGCTTTTTCTTCTTTTAAAAATAAGCATAAACTCTAACCCTGTTTGATATGTTGCATTTCTATTTGCATCAGACTTATTTTTGTGCTATTTTCGGTGGTTTTTGGTGCTCTTCCCAGGTACAAGATCACGACAGAGAAGCCAGAGGGAGCCATAGCAGGTGTGCAGAAGGTGGAAGATGGACCCATTGAATGGAGCTACCAACTGCCACACAGTTGCCAACTCTCAGAGTGAGTTACTCTATGCGCAAGTGTGTTAAACACTGAAGACAAACAGTAGTGGGAAAGAAATTGTATATGGACCTCAGTCAGCAATGCTATATTATTTATTGTATGCAAATGAAAATTAGTTTGTGAGGGAAAAATGCCATTCTTTCAATATGTTGTTCTGGATTAAGGTCCTAATTTTTTGTCCACTGGAATTTTTTTTTTTAATTATTGATCAACACCAAGGTCCACAATATTTCAAACACATTACACAGATTTGTTTTCATTCACCTCAAATGAAAAAAGCCACATCTACTGTGTGGAATACACTACACACTAGATATTTGCTGCAATTTACAGTCTGGATGACTCTATGCTAGTTGCCGAAAGTCAGAGCCAGTCTGCGGTTTTTGGTTAGTCGGAGTTGACTGATTTTCCAGTTTTCAATTGTCAAGCATCTCTTAGCAGCAAGGTGCATGTTTCTGAGTGAGTTTGTTGTGTTCGGAACAACTTATAAAAGTCTGTTATTGTGGGATCCTAAGTCGTTTAGTGTATGATGCAAAGTTTTTTTTTTTTAATTTACAAAGTCGGTAAATATATGAAGATTTGTAAAAGTTGCTTATCGTATTCCAGCCTGTGGGCTCGTTTAAGTGTTTGCTTTTTGTATGCTTTTATTCATCATGATTAGCATGATTGAAAGAACACTGAAGTTTCTTAAGGGCTTTTCACACTGCGCTTAAACCCGGGTTATAGTTGTTCTAACCATCGCTTTTAACCCCAGGCAGAGAAACGTTTCACACTTCTAATTAAGAAGCTGCATTAGCACTGCTTTTTACCTGGGTTTATGAAACCTTGCTTTGGAGCAGGGTTAGCACCGCTTTTGATGCGGTGTTATAATGTTACGGCTAGATGCTTAACAACTGACACCCAATAACTTGATATTCACATGCTTTGGATGGTCACAGAAACACTGCCCGTTGGAGGGGAAGGAATGGTGAGTGAAAATCCGTCAATTGAAGTGAAGAAGAGACCGTTTAAGTTTTATTTTTATAGTCCAAAAAGTCCATTCAGGAAATATTTGATAGCGGTTGGCAACACAGTATATACTATGAAGTTGCACAATGCTAGAGCCTTTATGTAAACCAGTTATGTGCTACGTTTTTCCAGACACTGACACTGCAAATAACAATGTTATCCCAGGGTTTAGGAATGTACAGTGTGAAACTTCAGCATATGAATTCCCATTATTAATTGTTAACGTTGGGTAAATTATGAGCAGTGTGAAATGGGAAGCAAGAATACCTAGGATTCTGTTGACCTGGGGTTTAACTATTTCTAGTGGGCCTTTAGAGTTTGGGAGCAGTTTACCAATGGCTCTGTATCTTTTCGTAGGGGTTTGAAGACTCAACTGATCCCAGTGTTGGCCAGCATACTGGAGGCCAATCAGGAGAAGTGTTGGGGCTTTGTCCAGTTCTTTGCTGCTACCACTGATATCCTGAACCGCATCACCGTCCACATCTTCTCTCTCCAGCAGGCCACAACACACAGCATCTACATCCACTTTCACAACACGTATGTGTGCTCTGAGAGAAGAGATTCCTTAGCTGTTTACTGCAACTAAACTACTGTGACGTTACAATGTGGACTATTTTTTTTTTTTTTTAAGTTACTGTATATGAAAATTCAGTTTCTCAATATATTGTAAATATAGATGCCATTTGGTTGTAGGTCCCCAAATGGTCATCATTTAAAATCCATTTAAAAATGATTTCCTACAATGGAGGTATGAATTGAGGGTGCAATTTTTTTTCTGAATGACTTTTCACAGTACCTCCGAAATATACATTTTCTTTTTGTTCTCCTCAAGGGTCTCAATCTTTTTTGAGGATGTTCAGGCCCAAACTGGAATTGAACCTGCGGCTCAACGGTACCTGTTTCAGGGTCATCCTCTCATTTTGGAGCCGAGCATGAAAGTAGTAAACCTTCCTCCCACCAGTCCAGACCGCCCTATCATTCTGATCAGCCGACAACCAGAGAAATTAGGAGGACATCCATACAGAGAACGTAAGGACACAATAAATTTGATTTTTTTTTTTTTCTTTTATGAGACGTTTTATGAACACTTTAAGATGTTTGTGTGAGTCTTAAGTTTACATTTTTCAATTTAATGTATGTTTACAAATAAGGAGAGGTTGCATTGTCTCTTTTCCTTCTTTATTCTTCCACCATCCCTTCTATTTTCATCTGTTCTGTAGCTGAAGCCCCCGCCATGCCCACAAAGTTTGACGTCATGGCAGATTACACTTTCTCCAAGGTAAGCAAGCCTCTTTTGTTTTTATCTTTGGTGCTTATTTTTGGTGGACATTATAACACTATTATCCATAAACCTCACACTGTGTTCTGTTGTTTTTGTTCCTCCTAAAGAGCATTGTTGGGGTCATTCATCAGTACCTGCGTATAGCTCGCTCATTCCAGAAGTACAGAGAATTGGTTCTGCAGGGGTTCTATGGCTACATGTGAGTGCTAATATCATCAGTGTTCTGCATGCGTCACTATCCTGATAAATATTTCACTACCTCCAATTACGGGATTACCTTGACATTTTAGTGTGTCCAATAACAATATTCTTGACTTTTCAGTGAAAACACAGGCTTTGAATGCAATAATGTGGCGCACAGGATTGCCATGGTGAATATGAAGCTGTTTTCTTCTATCAGCACAGAAGAGAATCTCAATTGGTTGTAAGAATTTGCATACTGAATATGTGTTTAAATAATGCTTATTAAACTACAGTAAGCATTAGTTTCATGATATTTTGTTGTAAGGTTGTTATTTATTGATGGACATCTCTTCGTTCTTCCCAACCAGCACTCAGAAGTTTGCACATGAGTTTCCCGAATTTATAGACAATAAGAAGACGCTCTCACTGGTAAGAGTTGTTCTCTGTGAAATGTATATTGAATAAATGAATTAGAATGCGCCATAGTTTGCATCCTTGAGGTTTATAATTGTGTGTAGATACAAGAGGATTTGCAGCGAATGTACACCACTGGAATCAGAGATTTCCCGAATCAACTACAGCACCTGCATGTGATGCTGTCTAAACACTCTGAGACACTGGCCCAGGATAAGAGGTCAATTATTATACATTATTTAACACATATTTATTTATTTATTTATTTATTTGTGTGGATTCAAGCTATTAGCTAACTTTTTCATCCAGTACTATAACATTTAAGCTCGACATTTATCCAAATGTTGATTTAAAAATGAACTTATTCTGTAAATGAATAAACATATTATGTACCATACATAACAAACACACACACAAGCGTTATTTACGATTTAAAAATGATATAAGATTTAAAAACAATATAATATAATCTACTGGAAATGGTTGATCAAGTTCTATTAATTTAGCATATTATTATGGAAGGTTATGACATACAATTATAAATAATTATTCAAATAAATAAATAAAATGAATTATTAATACAGTGATTATTTTAATTTTTAATACAGTAATAATGAAAATAATTTACCTTCTCTTTAATGCAGCATCCAGAAGATGGAGGTTTTGTCGGGGAAGATTGTTGCAGTTCATCAGCAGTATTACAACGACCGAGTGGCAGGAAGTAAGTGGAAGCATGTTTTTCCTGTCATATAAGAATATAACATAACACAAAACAAATTCATGACACCTGTTGTCAAAAAGGTCTGAATTTCTGCAGATTAGATAAAGGCTATAAACCCATGATAAAAGTTCTTCTCAACCAGTCTGTGGTTTCAGGACGCTTAGCAAAAATTCACCGAACTCTGTGAATGTACTGTATATTAGGCAGTGACCCATTTCTGTCACTCGCAGTCCTGGAAGCTGGACGTGGAGTTTCATGAGTGGAGCCAGTTGCTGAGATTAGTGAGATTAGTTTCAGTGTTGCTTGTACCCGCTGCAGGGAGAGGAGGCACTGTTGTGCTGTCTTATCTGACAGCAAGGACCATTCCAGACAGGCAAGCATGGAGACAGAAGAATAGAACTCCCCTTTCTGCCTGGCTGCATTGATGATGTTATATATGACTCTGCAGAGAAGCCAGTCAGCTAAAATAGAGTTTATCTTGAGCAATCACACAAAAAAGAACTGCGGTGTTGAAATTTTTCTTTGACTGCTGCTAATTCATTCACTTTCTGTCCCAGAGCTCAGCTATAATGACGAACAGATTCACAAGTTTGAGAAGTAAGTATTAAACACCTGGAGCATCTTGAATGAGTGTATGTTCTCACGGTAATTAAACTGAGAAACTGCTATATTCTGCCCAGGCTCAATCTGTCTTCATACATAAAGAAAGTCAAGACTTTATTCAAGGATGACTGTTTGCAGAAGTACCAGGATGTTCTGAATGCTGCTGGGAGCTGGAACAGGTAAGACAGAGGTCAGATGAGTAAGAGCACACCATTTAATCACTTATGATGACTGATAGCAGCATGTATAATTCTTTGCATTTGTACATTTAATTAATTGGCATGGATTTTTCATCTGAAGTGACTTTTAGTGCCACTCGTTCTTAATCATGTGTACAATAATGGAATAACAGTATTATAATCTCAGTAAATCTTGTTTCCAGTCTCCAGAGATTCTTAGTCTTCCCAACATATAACTAACCTCTGTGTTAGCAGCACAGATTCTTAAGTTCCACTTAAATCAAACACATTTCATACACTATACATTACTGACACTATTTGTATGGCTTGTCAATGCCATACATATTTCAATGACCATGTGAGTCTTATTTCTACAGAGTTCTCTATGAGATACAGACAAGTCTAGAACATTTTGGTGGTGTCCTGCGGCAGAGACTGGCGGATCTGCATGTGTGTGAGGCCCAGCAGAACAAGGTCAGCCCTCTGATTAGGGGTGCGCCAAAATATCGATATGGCGATATATCACGATATTTACTCCCGCGATCGATTCTCGATGCGCTCTTGCCAAGTATCGATCTTAAAAGCTGTTATAAAACGCTCTATTCATTATCCGAGTTGACTGGATTTGACTAGCTTTCATGAGGCACACACGCAAAGTCTCTCGCTCTCTCCCTCTCTGCCGTGCTATGTATGTTATGCGCGCAGGCTGTTCTGTCTCGCATGCGCGCTCTAGATTCCGGGAGATTTGAACTAATTTGCGGGCATCAGGGAGACGCTATCATTATGCGGGAGACTCCCGGAACTTCCGGGAGACTTGGGATGTCTGGCTTTGCAAAAGTCCGCAAAACGGTAAACACGACCACATGTACAGACACCTCATGCGGCATCACCCGGAGCTCTGTGAGAAAGCCGTGGTTGGTGCTGGCTCGAAGCCGACACACCCTGGCGTAAAAAAAATTATTACTACTGATTGCAGCAATGTTACACTAAAATAGTGTCTGTGACTGTTTTGTTGCAACTGATAAGACACAAGTTGTTTTTGTTATTGTGTTTCATCCCAAAAAAAAAATGGAGATTAATTTTCCTAATTAAAAAAAAAATTGTATTTCTTAAAACATGATATATTGTGAGTTATTACTGATAATATGTCGATTATCGCAGTATCGCCATATCGTGATATTATCGGTATCGTGAACAATGTATCGCATATCGTATCGTATCGTGAAGTACCCAGCGATTCCCAGCCCTACCTCTGATTCCCACAAAATAGTACACACATAGTCTGTCTTTAGCCCTCTTCAGGCATGACTAGTTGTCCCTAAGGAGGTAAGGTCAATTTTGTGTTTCACGGACTCGCTTTGTGATTTTAATCCTGTACAAAATGGACATGGCTGTGTTTTTCTCATAAAAAAAAAAAAATGGTTGGCTTAATCCCATCTGGAAAAGAATGTGAGGGCAGAATTTTATTTTTTCACAGCAGTTCTCCTCATTTACCTACACCTTAGTTGAACTACCACTAAATACTGCCTTCTGCAAAGTGACTATCACTGCATCTGAATATGCCTACTTCCTTACTATATAGTTGGCGAAAAACAGTATATAAGTCGAGTAGTGTGTCCGAATACATAGTAGGTAGAAAAGTACCCGGGTGATCTACTTCAGCCGAGATTCTGAAGCGCGCATTCAGTGGACACTTTACCATCCCACTAGGCCACTTGAGAGGATTTGTGAATGGAAGTGAAGCGACGCAACTGATGACGTATGTCACGTGACAATAAAACCATGGCAGATGTAGTATGTCCGAATTTCATTCATACTATATAGAACATTCTATTTTTAAGGGTTGCAAAGAAAGTTTCAAACCAAATGAACTACCTACTATATAATATGCGATTTTGGACGCAGCATATGGATTTTTATGGAGATTTTTTGCAAACTTTCTGGGTGAAATCAGTTTCAGTTCAATTAGTTCTGGCATCACTTCTAATCAACTTCCAACAATTCTCGTTCCCAACGCTTAACTCCTTCCCTTAATTCACGTTTTTCTGTCTAAACCAATTGGATTGATCTATTCTAAAGTTTGACTTTTATACCTGATCGTCAGAAAGCTTGGATTGAAAGTAACCTGACCATCTTCCCTTCCTCTTCTCCACCTTCGCAGGTTCTTGACAGAGTTGTGTTAAGAGCTCTCCACCAGCCAACAGGAGCTGAGGGGGTGGATGGACCGAAAAAAGATGAGCACATGATTTTCAAGTATGTCATTGTAATGAAGATGAGACAGCATTTATCAATTCCAACAATATAAATAATGAAATTGTTTACAGAATGAACAGATTAAAGGATGAGATGGAGGCTGTGGCACGGGAGCTGCAGAATAACAACAATATGATAGAAAGGTATGGTGTTTAGCTGCAAGTGCTACTGTTATTGTGTACACTAGAAAAATCCTTTTAAATTTAACAAGACATATTTTTTAAGCCTTTCTGTAGTTACTTCTACACTTCCAGTGGTGACAAAAATACCTCAACCCAACCGACCATGAAGACCTCAAAGAATACAGAATGCAACACAATGTCACAGAGCCCAGATCTCTGAGCTAAAAGGAAAGAGAAAGCAAAACGAATCAAAGACAATACAACAGGCACCACAAAACTGTTCTTATTTCAACCTCTCTAACCCTAAACAACAGATTAATGGCTGTTACCAGGGCAGGCAGCTGAAATTGCATGATGTGTTCTGAGGTTCAAAGAGGTAACTACACATTTTGTCAAGTCAGTGTTAATGTAATTACTGCATTTTACCTTTATACAGTCTAGTAGTATGGATTTACACTGCCAAGAAGAAAGAAATATAGATCAGTTGTAACTACTAGCTACATCAGTTTTCCCGAGTTATCTTGAGACTTAAATATTGATGGCACTGTGCATTCAGCTGACAATAATAGTGTCATTATTGCACAGCCATGGAATAAAGAGAGAGGTGTTTAATCTGCCCTGTGTAATCGGTTCTGGTTTTGAGAGATAACTGCAATAATTGAATTAGTCTATCAATCACAGCAACTTAATCACAAAACATGGAGCTCTAAAGAATTTTTTTTTTTTTTTGAGTATTCAGCTGGGCTTCTGAAAAATGTGAAGCATGCAAAGATTATCATCCTACAAATACTGACTGTCAACAGACTCATGTTACTACTTGAAGTGAAAGTAAAATATGTGTTGGGTGGGTTCTGATGTCACATTATGGGGAATTCCTTATGCTGGGGGGAACTATGGTGACCTTACAGAGACCACATTGTGGTTCCGTTTTTAAGTTCGTTTTGTCATGGAATTTTATCAACTTACCTTTTTGGCAGTTTGTAAACAGATTTGTTAAATGTTTTGTATTTTTTAAGATCTTCACTTTCTAGTGTAATCGGTACTTTGTAGACTGCACTAATAAAATGTTTAACACAATTGGTGAAACTTACATTTTTTATTAAAATCTAATAAATGATACAAATGATATGCTATGTAATGAATATTAACTAAAAGCAATTGCATGTATATGTATGAGACAGTGGATATAAAAAGTCTACACCCTCTGTTAAAACAGATGGTTGTTATGGAAAAAACGAAACAAAGATAAATTCATGTCAGAACTTGTATGTGTGTGTGTGTGTGTAATGAATTATAATAAAGAAGTACGATGTTTTGTAAATGAGACTGTTAAACTAAAAAAAACGTCTTATTAAAACTGAGCTGGACGATGACATCACTGTTTTCTACAGAGCTGCTTTATTGCTGAATTGAACTCATTTTTATATTTGATTAAATTTACAGTCATTGGGCTGAACTGACCATAGCTGATCAATGACACTTCTTTTTAGAGCTACTTAACAGCAAAATAGAATTCTGTTTGCATCATTGAACCTTTA